TTACCATTCTCTTGCTTATTTTAATTTTTGTTTCTAGTTTGTCTTTTGCAGTAGTTTTTTAGTATGTTGGGCTATAGTTTCTTTTTATGTGAAGCCTGATGAGTTAAACAGTTCTGCTTTCTCCCTGTTGCCTGTTATTTCCTTGTCATCTTTTCTCTTTAGTGGACCTAAAGTTTCCTTGATTTTTTTTCTTGTTGTTAATATATTGGAAGAAACTTTTTTATTAACCTTGACGTCTGTTGCAAGTCTTTGTTCATTCTGAGCCTTTGCTTTCCTGACTTCATCTTTGCATGTTCTGGCTATCTGCTGATAATCGGCCTTAGTTATGTGACCCTCTTTCCATTTTTTGTATTTGTCCTTTTTGTCTTTCAGTTTGTCAGAAATATCTTTGTGCAGTCATGCTGGTTTCTTCTTGAGTTTCTTGTTTTTCTTTTTCAGTGGTATTGTGCTGGTCTGGGCTTTTATGATCGCATTTTTCAGAGTTTCCCCCGCTTCTTGGGTTGTTTTCCCCTTTAGGTTTTTCATCCATGGGATCTTTCCTAGGTTCTCTCTGAGTTTCTTAAAGTCAGCTCTTTTGAAGTTCAAGACACTGGTTGGATTGTTTTCTGTTGCTAGTGTTTGCATTATATTAAATTCCAATATGATGTGGTCACTTTCCCCCAAGGTTCCAGTAACTTCAACTCCCTCTATCACTTCTTATCTATTAGTAAGAATTAAGCCCAGTATGGCTTTATGGCTAGTTCACTCCTCCACCTTTTAGATGACAAAGTTGTCAGCTAGGTTGGTTAGGAATCTGTTTGATCTCCCACTCGCTGCAGAGTTTGTTTCCCAGTTGATATCTGGATAGTTGAAGTCTCCCATTACTATTGTGGTATGCTTCCTACATACATTTGTTAACTGGTTGACAAAGAGTTCATCTATTTCTTCTGATTGATTGGGTTGTCTGTAATATACACCTATGGTAATGTCACTTTTTTTCTTTTTTATATTGACCCATATGCATTCGGGAGAGATTTTATCTTTGATCATGCATGTTTCTGTAGATTTGTAGCATTGCCTTACATATAGTGCAACTCCCCCTCCTCTTTTTGTAAACCTGTTTCTTTTGAACAATTTGTATCCATCCATCAGTCCATTCCATTCATGGGTTTCGTCCCATCAGGTTTCTGTAATACCAACTATGTCATACCCTTCCTTGTGTACTATTGCTTCTAGTTTGCCCTGTTTGTTCCCCAAGCTTTGAGCATTTGTATATAAGCATTTAAGGCTTTTATGGCTGTCCATGGGTATTTTTCTGTATCTCCTGAATGTTGTTTGAGTTTTTCTTTTTTTTCTCATCTCTGCCCACCTCATTGTTTGATTTGTTTTCTTGGGATTTAGGATTGTTTTTGAATTCTAGAGATTCTGAAGATTGGTCACCCTCCCCCCTCAATTTTAGTTTAAAACCCTCCTGATGAGTTGGCCCAGTCTTTTTCTGAGTACATTTCCACCTGCTTTCATGAGATACAACCCATCCCTTGCCAAGAGTCCTTCATGAAGGAAATGCAGTCCATGATCCAGGAAACCAAAACTTATTTCTACAATTCTTTTTTCCCTCAATGGGTGTTGGCCTTTCATCAGAAGTACAGATGAGAACATTACTTGTGCTCCTAGTTTCTTAACTTTATTGCCTAGTTGTTTGTAGTCTCTCACTATTGTACTCAGGTTCTTTGTTGTGTCATTCATCCCAATATGGAGGAGGAAGGGGTAGTAATCTGTAGACCTAATTATTTTGGTTTGGTTCTCAGCCACATCTTTGATTTTTGCTCCAGGGAGACAACACACCTCCCTGGATTATATTTATTTGACAAGTAAAAACAGTAAATAAATAAATAAATAAATAAATAAATAAATAAATAAATAAACCTTACCCTAGAATGAGGAAAGTCCTTTTTCCATGTTACTCTGAGTATGAAGCTGAGATGAAATTATGATAAAAATAGCAGCAGCCATGTTTCTCTTGAAAAGGTGTCACCAGACATCCTCCAACACATTTTAATTTAGCAGGAAGTAATTTAAAAAGGAAAGGAGTTGTTATCTTTCTGAGTGTACATATTAAATGAAGCTGTAAATTCTTCATCCAATAGGAAAGCAACTACTTGTGACACAAATGATTTTTGATCACAGTTCCTATTATGTGCTAACAATAGTGTCAGCATCTCATCCTTTTACCTCTGTTAATACATCTTCAGTTATCTATTTAAGCACCACAATTTCACAAAGAAGCTTGAAAGATATGCCTGAGTGTGTTGAAAAATAATTTTTCTTGATTCATGTTTAGAAGTATGCATGACAACTTAAAATAGTTAATACGATAAAACACATTACAGTATAAAAATGCAACAGAAGTTTAGCTACAACAGAGCTTAAGGAATGCATGCTTCTCCTCTGAACATTGCTCTGAACAAAGGAAAAACAGGACCTGTATGAACTGAAATAAATATGGTTAAGGCAGACAGAACCAGCATTTAACCAGCATTAAAAATCCTGAAGCTGAGAAAAATTTGAGAGCTCTCATGAGGGAAGGTATATAATCAAAAACCCATGGGGATAATGGTTGTGGGAAAGAAGAAGGGAATGGTGGAAAATGTGACTTCTCATTAAACTGTAGATGTCCAGCTGGTGGCCTGGAACTATATGCCACCTGCCTATAAGTACTTGTTCATGCCCACATGCCCACCACCACACACATCCCTCTGCAAATGAGATGTGAGTGAGTCAGATGCAGTTGTCTGTATATCTATGAGAATTATTTTCTCCCGAGATACTTATTTTATATTCAATATTAAAATCATCAGAAATGTAAGAAAATGGAGAGTACAATTAATGATTCAGTTTGACTATTGAACACAACATCGGAGGAAAATATAGTATTTAATTTGATTTAATTTTCTCCACCAAAACCAGTTTTAAAATTACTATATGGAGCTAGTACAAGTCAAAATTAAAAAAAAAATATTGCAGAGATTTGCTTTAACCAAACACAAGCAATTCTTCAGACATCAATCTAATGGGACCTACCTCTAAAGAATCAAGTACCAGATTGCATTGGAAGGAAATAGTCTGGCTTGATTCTTTTCTTAAATATTTTTTAATATATATATGGTATGAAGAAGCCTTCTTCTGCAATCATTTGGGACATATCGAAAATGTCAAAATGTCTAATATGTTAAAAAATAGAGGCTGCATTGAATGATAATAGTTATGTATGACCCATGCAGCACACAAAGTTTACATGCTTAATAGTACCCATATATTAATGCATTTGGCTAAGATGATGAATTTAGATGATGAGCTGGATAAGAAAAGTGGAATGACGGTAACGCTGAAGTAGCCATGGATCTAAACCCAATTCTAACCCTTACCAACTCTAAACCTCACTAGGATGCACTCTTTATCCCAGTAATTTAAATTCTGTGTTCATACAACAATCAGGACAGCTTCATTTGCACATCTAATCTAGCTAGGTTTGGTTGTGTTTTCAGCTTAATATGATGATTGATGTCTTTGACTTGTAAATCATGCTTGTGTGTGAGAAATATTAATACAGAACACCTGAGTTTTCTGAGGAACAGTGAACAAGTAGATACAGGAAGAACTGAATCTGGAGAAATAATGATTTAGACTAGAAAAGGTCTCAGTGTATATTGTCCTCCTATCCATTTAACATACACAACAAATATATTTTGGTAGGACTGAAAAATATGACAGCTTGAAAAACCCTAACCCTAACTATCAACAATGATATGCAGATACAATAATATCGTTCAGCTGAAAATGTTTCTTTAAAAAGACTTAGACATCTTCGTTGTGAAACTAAAAGTAGAAGTAAAAAATCCAAACTGAAGTTAAATACTAAAAAGGCAAAGTTATGCCAACTGGCAGGTCATTTCAACAGGAACAAAGAGTAACGTAATGCTCATATACTCTATAAAATTGGACAGAGAGTGAGAAAAAGAAGATACATGCCACTGAGTTATGGACTTAGAAGACTTAATAGACCTGATCCAAATAAAGTTGGAGTTATGATCAGTAAGCAGAAAGTTTTTATGCAAGTGGATTATGGACCAGAAAAAGTGACTTTGGTTGTCAAAGGTGAGGGAAGTAAAAGAAAAGAAAGGCAATGATAGATGTATAAGGTAGATATACAAGAACAAAACTTTATTAGAATTATCCTTGGAAGATATAACACTAAATAAAGGTCAAAATGGTGAGCACTTATCCATACAATCACTGATTCATCATTCTGCGCCCCTCCATACCCTTCCCCACGGATACCACTAATTCAGAATAAATCCACTTGAAAACATTTAACTTCACTTCAGCCTTTTCAGACAAATTCTATTCAAGGTGTTTGCAAACCAAGAAACCAGATCAAAGCAATAACAAGCTAATGAATCTTGTCTGACCAACCAATATGCTGCAAGGTGCAAGGTTCTGCCTCTGATTCTTCACCTTCCTACCATTTCATCCCATTAAACGGAATGATAGCAGCCATACATTCTAATTTGGCTACATTTCCATGCTTTTGCCTTCTGCAGAAAAGGGCTCCCTACCTAAGCGGTAGGAGCGGGAGCAACCTCTATTGATCGATAACTGCATCTTTCTAAAACCGACTGGGGGTGGGTGGGGGAGCGGTAGACCTTTGGATATAGCGCCTACATTCACACACATATCAGGAGAGTGGGACAGGAGCCCTCTTGGGTAGCTCACCCGCACTCCTAAGCAAGAGATGTTACTCACATGCGACCACCCCTTTTTGTTGCCTTCTAGAAATTCACCCCGCTCCCACTGCCGCCCACCCGGTTGATTCCCACATCTGGGGACCGTTTCCCCCTCTCCTCCTTCTCCCGCACCAACAGCGGCCAGAACCCTGCCGCTTCCAACTCGTAAGATCTTTATGGCAGACTTTGCACAGCCTGAGCAAGAGAATGACGCCGGTTGGGGAAGCCAGTGGCTAGCACGGATTCCCTCTCGAGCCGTTTCCCAGCCGGGGCGAGCTTGGCTCGGCTATCGGCGAGCGATTTGGGAACCAGGCTTGGAAGGGGAAAGGCGAAGGCAAGAGTGGAAGGCAGGCGCCAGGACCGCGGACAGCTCCTCGCCCTTCCTCCCCTCGGCTGCGCGTACGTATTATCTAGATTATTTTGATCCCAGCCCGTAGCCCCCTGCCTGCGTTGGCGAAGACTCCGGCTCCTCCTCTCCCCCGGGAACATCCAGCAAGAATCCAGGCCGGGAGATTTGACGTCAGGGAGCGCTTTCGTCCTTTTGACGTGTAAGCGCTCATTCCCATTCTGGCCGTGGCGGCTCCAAGCCCGGCTCCAGCATGAGACCAGCAGAGAGCGAAGGAGGCGACCGCGGCGAGGCACTTTCTTAGCAACTGCCCGCTCCTTCCTTTCCAGTGCCAGATCGCGTAGCAACCAGAGCCGAAGGGACTTTCCTCGCCTTCTCCAGCAACAGTTCCCGACTTCTCCGGGCTGTTTCGTATCTAGAATTCATTTCCTCCTCCCGGAGTATCCCTTTCCCTCTCCCGGGGCCATGGGAAAGAGATGCCGGGCAGGGCAGAGCGTGATCGCGGCTCTCCTCTGCGCCTGGACTGTGGTCCAGCTGGCCAAGGCAGAGCGGCAGTTCGTCAATGAATGGGCAGCGGAGATCCCGGGGGGTCTAGAAGCAGCCCGGCTCATAGCAGACGAGCTGGACTACGAACTTCTGGGACAGGTAAGACGCGACCCCTCCCTTTTCTTTTCTTTTTGTCTAAGTCGGGCAACTTTCCTCTTTCCCGGAAGTAAAGAAAATAAGAAACGACGGATAATGGATCCTATGACTGGCAGAGATGAAATTGGTAAGAAAACGTTGCCTGTTTTGATTTGGGAAGAGCCCTCCACACCTTTCTCTGCAATCTGTTCCAGAGATTCTCTGCCTTCAAGGCTGCCTTCTTCCTCATTGGTGTTGTTGTTGTTGTTGAAACGAACAAGAAGCTAAGTTGTGACTCCTTGCTCCTGATGGGAAACTTCTGAGTTCTTTCCCACTCCTGTCCTGCCTCATCTTCCTTCTTTAGAATTGTCACCCCTGGTTGTCTGCCACTTTGCCACTGCTGCATTTTCCCCTTGGACAGATATTTATTTAGCCAGCGTAACTGTGACTTCAAGCAGCATACAAGGATTAAAACAACAGCCACAACCAGTAATCCTTGGAGTCACCCCTAAAGTAAAAGAAACCCACCCCAATCATGATAGCGGAGGCAAGGGATGTTTGGGGCCAAGGCTGAGCAGGGCTGCATATACCAATGACTCCTGCAAAGAAGTCCATGTGCTGAATGGAGCAAAATCAGCAGCAGACGCTGGAAATTAGGTGAAAGCCCTCTGGGAACTCCACTTGGCTTGGCCTTAACCCTTTCAGCTTCCTAAATGCCACTGCTGAAGTTCTGAATGCTGAGGTTCCTGAGCTCCTGCAAATGGGGTGGATTTAGTTTTAGCAACAAAAGAAGAGACTATTTCTGGGTTAAGGATAAGGATTTATCCCTATCCTTACAGATCCCAAGCAACAGACATTTGAGATTGTGCAAAAAGTAGTAATCAATTAGCAGGTCTGGCAAAAAAAAAAAGTTACAATATTTTCTCCTTTACTTGAAAAAAAAGCATAATGATCAAGATGTAGGAGGCTAAGGGCACAGCTACATTTAGTAACCCCTAGTCTCTGTACTCTAATTTTTGTAGCTCTGTAAGCTCTCTCTAACATCTGTTTCCTCTTTTATCATCTTGATTTGCTTGTTTAGCCAAGCTTTATGGTGTGGGTACTGCATATGCATAACATGTGATGTGTGTGTGTGTGAGAGAGAGAGAGAGAGAGAGAAAGAGAGAGTTAAGTATATGGTGAATGACTCCTCGCCAGTTTATAAATGGCTATTTGGCAAATAAAAGTGTGCAAGATCTGATTCACTCCTGCCTGAGATGAACCAGCTCACTGTGTTATATAGCACAGGATGCTGTCAAAATTGCATTAGCAACAACTCAGACAAACAGAAGAAAAGATAAAGACAAAATACTCAGATGAAAGACATTAGAGATTTACTGACTATACTCATCTGTATACCAGAGATGGGGAACCTTAGTTTCCAGAGCTCCTGGGAGATCAAGCCAACATACCCAGAGCTGGAAGCTGTAATTCAGCAATACATGGAGACCTATGGATATCCCAACCCCAGTATATGTCAGCCTATCAATCTATTCCACCAAGGAATCACCCATGTTAAATCTAATCTTTCAAATAATGCAGCATAATAAATTGCTACAAAAAGGTTGCAATTACTCAATTGCCGTTAATTCCACTATGCAATCTTCCCTAAGACATCTACTTATTGGTGAACCATTGTAGCTATGCATATTCATATCATCAGATTTCTTCTTTAGCAAATTAATTTATTCATAAGCTCAACAATACTATTTAATAGAAAATACTGAATTTGAATCTGTGATCAGCACTTGTCACAATAAAAATTGATTTAAAATTTAGAATTCTGACCTCACCTCTAAAACTTGGATCGTTGTATACATTATAATAAATGTTATGCAGTCAAACACACATTCTCTCCCTCTCCCTGTCCCTCTCCCCTTTCTTGAAAACAGGAAGATAAAGTATGTAGTACTTATTTTATACACCTTTGTCTAAATGTGCATTTTAATTTATGTAATGACACAAATCTGCAAGTACTTGTACATTTATTCCAGCATAAGCAAATTTGAAAAATTAGAAAAGAATATTATTTTAAAAAATAAAATATACATCTATAAAATCTGCTTATTTTTCTATTGATAAAATTTCTGATACAATTTTAGTCATATCAAGTCATCTGTTATCTCATTCCCACCACATACAAATATCTTATATGCTATATAATCTAATTTGTCACTTGTGTCAAGCTGCCTTTATAGTCCTGCGTGTATATCTATATATATCCATGATCCTGCTACGATCATAACCAATGTGTTTATTTGTTTAATAGTCTTCTTGTGATTTGTTGTTGTTATTGTTCAATATTTTTTATTTGATTTTAAATAAAATCTAGTATAATTTTGTGGAAAAGCTTGAAGAGGAAGGGCACACATCATTATGGAGCTAGATTATACTTAATTGTGACACTAAGCTGAGAAGAAACTAATTAGGAAATAAAACCAATTCAATAATGATGAATATTTCTTTGAACTATCAGGGCAAGTGGCATAGCATGGCTATTTACTAACTCCCATCAGATTTATGCAGATGATGAATTACTTATAGCTATAGCATGGAGTATATATAGTACATAGATATACATATCACTACTACCACAAAAACCAAAGCATTTCTTTCTTACTAGCAGCTATTTTGCTTTCATAATATCTGAATCAACTAAATTCTGCATCTCCAGAAGCTCACATTTCCTATCCCAATTAAAATTCCAGTAAAACGATTGATATTGAACAGAATGTAGACTAACCAGATTGCTATTTAATTGAAGATAAAATCACTCAACCAGTAATATGTGTTTTAAAGCTTCCTGTATCAAAGCATTGTATAAGGAAACAACGGACAGAAGAGACTATTTTATTTGCAGCTCAGGGTTGAACTGTGAGGGCCTTGGTGCTCTCTGAGCTTGGTTGTTTACTTGCAGACATTTCATTACCAAACAAGGTAACTTCATTAGTGTATAAAGAAATATTTACACAGAGGAGAAGAAAGAAAACATACTCCTTTACTGAAACGTTTTTTAAGTAATATCAAGTTTTAGATCAACATTCCACAAGTAAATTTCTTCTGGAAAAGTTAAGGACTTGATCGCTGTATAGTAAAAGTAAAATTTCAGAACATGCAATCATTTTTGCCATTTTATTTATTTAAAGCTTGAAAAATTAATACAAAGACATTTCATGGGGAAATATATAGGGAGAAATATCAGTAGCAGACCATTTAATTATAGGAATATGGACAATTCTACCATACATTTTGACTAGGTTTAGTTATTCTGAACTGGTGATGAGAATGAGAGGAACTAAACACTTTGTATTCAGGGTTCATGTATTAATTCTTTCAACATCACAAAGAATAAAACTTCCTAAAATCACTAATTCAGGGAAAGGAGGAGAAGAGATTATAACAGGGGACAAGAAATTCACAACCAAGAACTAAGGGCACAGACATACAGTAATGTGTTATCCTCAAGTCCTGGAGATGGTGGAAATTAGAGCAGTGAGTGCTATTGTTCTTGTCATTTTGATGCAGATAAATTTAAAAAGGTAAGATTGATGGATTCCCCCAAGTTTGTTTCCCATCCCACTGAACATTACCCTCTGGTAGGAAAAACAGCTACTAGCTGCTCTCCTTAAATTTCAGTGGGATGGGGTGGAGTGCAGAGCTGCTCACAACCTCTAATCTGCCAGTCAGGAAATTTCTAAATAGGTGTCTAGACCAGCTGATAGGTCACAGGTGCAGAGGAAGAGGAGCAGAAGATGAAGTGGAAGAACCCTCTCCATGGAAAGGAGGCTAGAGAAATTGAATGAAAATGGCACAATGAACTTTTATAGAATTTAGTGTAAAATTACTAATTTAGGCAACAAAATCAGATGCACCGAGATAGGCTGTAGTTTGGTAATGATGTGAAGAAAAGCTTGAATAGTATCTTGTTTTTTTATAAATTTCAATATTAAAGATTGGGCAACCATTTTCTGAAATGATACAGGGTTTCCTGCTTGAGCAGTGGATTGATTTAGAAGACCTCCAAAGTCCCTTACAACTCTCTGTTATTCTGTTATTCAATATTACTTTGACAGCGAGTTTGATGCAGAGGTTAAAGTACTGAGCTAAAAGCCAGGAGACTCTGACTTTTAGTCCTGCCATATATGTGATACAATGGTTGACTTTTGGCAGTTACTCTCTCAACCCTAAGAAAAAGGCAACAGTGGCAAAGCACTTCTAAAAAAAGTTATCCAGAAAATATCATGAACTCACCCATGTGGACACCAGCCATTAAGAATGACTCAGAGTTTGGATGGACAGAGATAAATGATAGTACATAGATAAATAGACATTGATAAAGATAGATGATAGAAGACAGAGACAGACAAAGATAGATAATAGAACATTTCACAAAGAGCCATAGTTAACCAGTCTCTAAAATAGACATGTTTTAACAAGCTTTGGGAAAGCCATAAGAATGGAAGTGAATGCTCACTTAGGGCAAGGAGTGGGAAAGGAGAATTTTTAGAAGAGCAGAATCCACCCAGAGAATGCTCCCCCCCAATAGATGGGGACCTTCAGCAGTCATAAGGAATTTATCTCAATTTCATGTATACCAAGGTACTTAGCTGTATAGGTGATAATGTTAATTTGAATTACAACAGTAGAAAATACAATAAACAGAAAGACCAGCATTTGTTGATCTAGTTGAAGTTTATGAGGTTTCTTTATGGGCAATTCCGAGCAAAGTAGATTAGAGTGATCCAAATGACAAATGACAAGTGCATGAATAGCCCTCTTCAGTGCCTTCTGTTCAGTTGAGCAAAGGCCTTCATGACCATGGCTTCTACCTGCTGTTCCAGGAAGACTTTCAAGATGCAAGTTTGTTCTCCATGGGGCTGACCCCATTCACAGCCAAATTTGGTAATGTCCCTGAATTAATAGACTTCTAAATTAAGTCATTCTGTCTTCCTTGGGTTGAGTCTGAATCTGGTTTTCCCCATCCAGACCCTGCCAGATTCTAGACACCAAAGCTGGATTTCTACTATGTTCTACAGTAAATTAAAAAGTGAATACATTATTCAAATTGGCAGATATGGCTGCAAAAGGAAAAAAGAAGGGGGGAATATAGTTTTAGAGTGAATTAATAGAAACATGGTTTCCAACTCATGGAAAATAATAATTTTACTCTTCTTTGGTCAGATCTGGGTACTGCACTTGAAGAAAGATTTAGAGAACTGGAGCAGGTTCAGAGAAGTGCAGTGAGACAAATAATGGGACAAGAAAAGTAAGTGTTGTGAAGTTAGATTGAGAGAAATTAATATGTTTAATATTAAGAATAGGCTAAGAGGATGGAATATGACTGTTTCTAAAATACCTAAACAAATGTCCCACACAAAAAGGTCAAAATTTGTTTTCTATTGTCCCTGAGTACAAGATCCAGAATAATGGCCTTAAATTTCCAGAAAGTGTATTACATGAACAAGCCCATTCCAATTTCTACAAATAAAGAGTGAGGATTAGCTCTGCTTCATTGGACATGTTCAAGCAGAAGCCAGAAAACTATCTGTTGGAGATGCTATAATTTGATTTTCTGTTCTTAGTAGCAAATTGGACTTAAGACCATGTATGGATTCTTCTGTCTTTGTAATTCTCTGATTCTGTATTTGACAACAGTAAAGTTATCTAAGAATAATATACCTTTACCAGTGGAAAGAGTTTATGATAGTGGGAACAAAAATTTTGAAACACAATTTTCAGATAGAAGCCTGCAAAAAGTAATAATTGAAATATTAAGAAAGTAACAGCAGTAGGTAGTAGCAACAATATCACTCCAGTTTTGCAATGTTTATGGTAGACTTAAACATTGAGGGAAATGGAGCCAAATCAATTCTTTTGAAGTCAATGGGATTTACTCCTTCTACCTGCAGTTCCAGGTAGACCTTCAAGATTCAAGTTTGTTCTCCATAAGGCCAACCCCACCCACAGCCAAATGAAGATTGTTCTGTGAAATTTGGAATGAGAAAATGTAGTTACATACTGAATACTCGAACTCTGTTCAAGAAGAAGAGAAAGTCAGAGGAATGCTGTGCTATACACCACAGAAGTTACTACCTCTGTACATAATGTAGCTAGAAGCTATTTCAATGACAATAAGGAAGGGGGGAAAGAGGAGGGAGCAAAATAACAGAAGCAAGCCCTACCTCTTTTGTGCATGCATTCTGACATGGCACAATTAATGAAAGGGAAGGAGCTTACAATATAATACAATACCCTGATGCTACTCTTGTCAGTCTGAGGATAGCATCAAACTCTTATAGATAACATGTCCTATTTGTTTCTATTTATTCTTAAAATAAATTTAATCACATGTTCCTATTTGGTGCATTAAATAAAAGCAATGCACTTTCATTTCTACACAAACATATACAAGATTTAAAAGTGCTAGTGGAACATAATTCTGCTTTCTGATCCTTTGTTTTTAAAAGATGTTTTATTAGGCATTTTGGTATTGCTGCATGGTTTCAGTTCTTAAACTAAACAGATTTCTGGGCAGTTTTCATTGTTTCTTGCTGTTGTGCATTATGGGATAAATGTCTTAAAATTGTTCTGTTCTTTACAGATTGGGTTACTAGAAGATCATTATCTACTTAGACTTAAGAATCACCCTAGAAGATCTCGACGAAGTGCTTCTCATATCACTAGGCAACTCACAGATGATGATCGTGTAAGTAGTAAATGTATGCTTTATAGTTTCTCTTAGACGGCTATTCTAAACCCCCTTCTAAGTGAGTAAACCTTTCTCAATATCGAAGCTTTCACCTCTGAAAAAACTACATGTGAGATTGCCTGCCAGTTTGCTATTAAGTCATCAATTCTGTTCATTGGGAAATGATGTGATATAATCCTTCAATAGTTGAATGAATTCTGGCAATTATTATAATATTTATAATTTATATTTTTCTCCAAGGATCTTAAAATATGTTTATATGGTTCCTGTTTTGACTCTGAGATTGATCAAATCTTACTCTAGACCACACTGAGAAATTATATTTAAAAAATGACACCTTAAAACAAAGAAATTGTAACCGGTGACTGTGCAATCAATGAAAGGCACAATCAAGTACAAAGTATTTCTTCATTTATGAATTTGTTCGTATTTCTCTCTGGGTCATTTATGTGAATATCTCTGGAAAGTGACTTCAAAAATGTGTCTTCTGTTTGCTACTGAAATCTTTGTAATTTAGGAATTAGGAGGTTTGCAAACATTTCACAAATGCTTCACAGATGAACAACAAACCTTATTTTCAAAGTTGCTATTAATAATTGATATTGATACTGATATTGTTTTTAAGAAGAGATTGGAGAAGCGTTTGTCCAAAATGGTATGGTTTCCTGCCTGAGCAGGGGATTGGACTAGAAGATCCCTTCCAACACTTCTATTCTGTTCTGTTTTGTTCTGTTTTGTTCTATTCTGCAAACTTCGAAACAGCTCAATTAAAGATTAAGAAGGAGTTAAAAATGTGTCTTCTTAATAGTTTCATGCTGCATTCCTATTTGTCTAACAGTCAGTTTATTTCTAATAGTAGGTATAACAAAATGATATGCAGTAAATAACTGGAAAAACATGTCAATTGAAAATACATGTTTCAGAATAAATACCTTCAAAAAAGAACCCATAAAATCTGGTTTATAGGTTTTTTACACATCTGGAGTAGGGCCATTTGCATTACAGTGAGTCAGAAGACAATGTTATTTAATGCCTACGTGGTCTCTTGCTCTATGGGATATTGCCATTTCTATTCACTCAAATAGTCTCCAAAATTTCAGGAAATTAATTTCACAGTGCTGAATTCAAAAGCAAAGGGTAACTAAACTAGGACCATCTTTTCTAAATGTAAAGCCGTCTTTAAATGTAAAGCCTTCACCAGGACCAGATGGATTACACCCCAAGGTTCTCAAGGAACTGGCAGATGTGATCTCAGAACCACTGAACTATATCTTTCAAAGATCCTGGAGCACTGGGGAACTATCAGAGGACTGGAAAAGAGCTGATGTAGTTCCCATCTTCAAAAAAGGAAAAAAAATGGATCCAGGAAACTACAGACCTATCAGCCTGACCTCAATACGTGGGAAGATTCTGGAAAAGATAATCAAACAATGAATCAGCGAACACCTACAGGCAAACAAAGTTATTACTAAAAGCCAACATGGGTTTGTCAAAAATAGATCAAGCCAGACAAATCTTATTGCATTCTTTGACCAAGTGACAAAATCAGTGGACCAGAGGAATGCTGTGGAAATAATTTACTTGGACTTCAGTAAGGCATTTGATAAAGTAGATCACAACCTGCTACTTATAAGATAGAAAAATGTGGGTTAGACAGCATCAACACCAGATGGATTCGTAGCTGGCTGATCAGCTGTACTTAGCGTGTGGTCCTCAATTGAACTGCATCTACATAGAGGGAAGTATGTAGTGGAGTGCCTCAGGGCTCTGTGCTAGGCCCAGTGCTCTTCAACATCTTCATCAATGATTTGGAATAGGGGATAGATGGGGAACTCATCAAATTTGCAGATGACACCAAGCTGGCAGGAATAGCCAACACTCCAGAAGACAGGCTTAAGATACAGAAGGACAGACTTGAACACTGGGCACCATCTAACAAAATGAAATTCAATGGTGAAAAAAGTAAAGTTCTACATTTAGGCAAGAAAAACCAAATATACAGGTATAATATAGGGGGTAACTTGCTCAATAGTAGTAACTGTGAGAGGGATCTCGGAGCCCTAGTGGACAATCATTTAAATATGAGCCAGTAGTGTGCTGCAGCTGCCAAAAAGGCCAACACAGTGCTAGGCTGCATTAAAAGAGGGATAGAATCAAGATCACGTAAAGTATTAATACCACTTTACAATGCCTTGGTAAGGCCAGACTTGGAATACTGCCAATACCAGTTTTGGTCACCAAGATGTAAAAAAGATGCTGATACTCTAGAAAGAGTACAGAGAAGAGCAACAAAGATAATTAGGGGGCTGGAGCCTAAAGCATATAAGAAACGGCTGCTGGATATGGTTACGTCTAGTTTAATGACGAGAAGGATGAGGGGGGACATGATAGCAGTGTTCCAATATCTCAGGGGCTGCCACAAAGAAGAGGGAGTCAAGCTATTCTCCAAAGCGCCTGAAGGCAGGACAAGAAGCAACAGATGGAAACTAATCAAGGAGAGAAGCAACCTAGAACTAAGGAGAAACTTCCTGACAGTTAGAACAATTAACCAGGGTTTCCTGCCTGAGCAGGGGGTTGTAATAGATGACCTCCAAGGTACCTTCCAATATTATTTTTTTTATGTTTCTTTTTTTTATTATTATTATTATTTTTTTATTAAAAAGTTTTAATAAATATTATCATTATCATTATCATTATTATTATTAAGTCAGGCTTGACTCTTGACTATTAAACACCATATTCTTATGGAAATAATTATTTCAGAATTTGAGAATTTGACACCGTAATTTCTGCTTCAACTGGGCTGGAAAACTATGCAAAATGGGCACTAATCAAAAATGTCAAGCTACTATTGATATGTACTGTAGATATGCCAGTGAAATCATTAAGATGCATTATATCTTATTCTTCTTATCCTAAATTTTCTTTGCTGTTTCTCTAACCACTGGGTTCCTAATGAGTTGCATCATTTCTTTTGTAGAAAACACATTTCCAATCATGTGAAGCATTTTTGTACTGCACGAGGTGTCTAGGATCATCATTGGCATTTAAATTCCTTACTGTCTTTGAAATTTGTTGATGATTCTGCTGCACTTAATTCATAATTGGGAACATCATGGGAATGATATTCCTACTCTAGAAAAGAAAAATAATCATGTGCCCAAGCCAAGCCCATTTGAAGCCATGTTATGTCCCCATGAAAATAGCTTAGCTAATGCAATTATTCTTGTTCTCCCACTGCTCCTTTAATTGCAATTAGAGATTTGGCTTTGTTCTTTCATATTTCAACTCTTTTTTTAAAAAAAAAAATATCTGTCATCTTCATTTTTAATTATCCTTTTCTAGGATTTAAAACTAGAGTTTCAATTTTCAGGCAACAGTTGTGCTGGGGAATGTATCTTATTTGGCCTTGCTAAAACTTCAAATGCTGCCTTAGCAACATTTCAAGCAGAATAGTGAGCGAGTTTGATTCCTACCATTACAGCAGCAACAGCCAAAGGCCTGAATGAGAAGATCTTTCCAAGGTTGAAGTGTTAAGACTGATCTTAGAAAGAGGCAGAGTAAGGTAGCAGTTGCTTTGCATGTCAGAAACTGCAGGGCAGGTGAGGAAAAAGTAATTGCTAGGATTTAGAAGATATTGCTGGATAGTCAGAACTACACTGTATCCTTAAGCCAGCTTCCTGCCCTTAGGAAATATGATCTGATGAACAATATGATCATTATCTGTATATGGATTGAAGAGGTACTATCTTATCCTTCATCCTGGACAGCAAAAGCCATGGGAGAGAGGCAAAGAGTCCAGATTAGATTTCTGGTCCACATTATAAACATCAAATTTGTATTCCAAACAATGTTATTACAAAAAGCAGTGGGGTCTTTACTTCCCATGACAAAATTCTTGACAATGGGTAATCCCATAGATTGTACATACATACATTCATACATGGACACATGCATACATACATAATACATACTTTCTTATACTATAATAAAAAATATAATAAATAAATTCTACATACTATAATAAAATCAAGGCAGATTAAAAACAAACCAGTATCATTCATTTTGATTCTTGGATTATGGATCATTACTGCTGGATCAAAGATACTGCCTTCTTGTCAGGCTTCAGTGGTTTTTATTATCCTTTTAAAATTCAAGATCAAGGGCTGGATTATAAAACTGGAATTTGGTTTTATAAATTAGCAGTATAATTTTAAAAAATTGAGGAAATAGCATACAGACACGCTCCATTATTCAGACTGTAATATCTTTCTCACATATACTTATTCTATTATTGGTTATGACCTCACAGTAAGAACTCACTGAATGTGACTTATTTGCAATCACATGCAGTTACAGTATCATGCTGATAACATACCAACTGCAAAGAACAACTCTGCTTCTAGTACTGTACTGTATATGTTTTCCAGCTTCAGTTGTTCTCTCACTGATAGAGCAGAGGCCAAACAGGTGCTCACAGTGAGAAAAACCAAACAATGTTCAACTGCCTAGGTAAATTTCATGACACGCTCCTAAGTATACAGAAGATATGTTCTGCAAACTCCAGCAATTGGTTAAACACTCAGAGATAAGACATTTTGTTACTCCCAGATTGAAGGAGCATGAAGGAGATTGATTCCTCAAAATTATGGAACACAGAATATCTATGGTTGAGGGGGGGTTAATCAATTTTTTTTTAAAAAAATGAGAAATACATATCCTCAACCAACATTTCTCTCCCTGGCAAAGAACACCCAATAATATTTGATAAATGCAGTAATCATTAAATATTTGTTACTTTTTCATGGTATCAAAAATCTGCTATCTAGGCAGCTTCTCTCCCTAATGTTGTGGTTTTGGAATCATCCTTCATAGTTAAATGTGCATTCACATGAAGACAAAAATTAGAACAAAGGTATGTATACCCATCCCATAGCATAGGGTTGGGCAACCTATGGCTCATGGACCACATCCTTCCATCATTACATGAATGGGCATAAAATTTTGAGACTCACATTTTTCCACTGAGGGAGATAGGGATTTTAAGAAGTGGCTATTTTGTCCCTTAGCCTCCCTTCAAAAGGGTCTTAAAATTTAAACTTACCCTTTAGTAACATTAATGGCCCTGCTCCATATGGTGATTAGATAGAGCATTTATCTACCTCTTTATTCTTCCATGATATTATCTTCATCTCATCCATGGCCAAAACATGAGACAGTCTTAAGCTATTCTTAGCTGTAACAATGTTAAATTAGCACATGTTGTTTTATGGAAAGACTGTAATTCTAGAAATAGTGCTCTGACTTCCTTAGAAAATCTCTGGGTTATACATGGAATAAACAAGTCTTTGATGTGCATTTATAGACACAAGAACTCAGCATTTCTTCATCTATCTCATGCTATTTTAGGTGACTTGGGCAGAACAACAGTATGAAAAAAAGCGAACTAAGCGTTCTGAATTAGGAGACTCAGCAGAAAATCTATTTAATGACCCAATGTGGAGCCAGCAATGGTATCTGGTAAGAGTTTGAATCTTCATGTAGAACATATATGTTTAGTATTGCTTCATTAGTGTACTAAACCATTTCGGAGATTACTCAAAGTATGATAATAGACGTTGGCTTTTAGGTTATAAACTATGATATATACAATCATCTGCAGCATATTTTATGATTTTGAGATGAAAACTGTACAGTCACAAAACTATTCTCTAGTGGAACAATTCTCTTATGGCATTTGCCCAAATATAACATATTACAGTTTGATATAAGTAGTACTTGTGAAAAAGAGCACAAGCTTTATAAAATTTAATAGGGAAGATACGTACCTCAAATGAAAAGAAAGGAAGGCCATGATGAAGTGATGCCATTTTTTAATCAGTCAGCAACAATGCGACTCAGCCCCTTCTTACTAACAAATCAATAATTTAAAAGAAGATGATTCTAAGAGATTGAAATTGACAATAAAATATAGATGCTCTCTCCAATCTTGTGCTCTCTTGATTTAAGATTTCATTTCTTATCATCTTCCATATTAGATAAAAGAAGTTGGGCAAGGCTAGTATGTACAGAACTACTATTTGCATCATGAAGCAATTGTATAAATTTTTACACTGAACTCAAATAAAAACCAAATCAAATATAATTTAATATATTTTATGAACCATATTTTTTCAATGTGCCATGCAATTCATGACACAAAATTTCAGTAAAGGAGAGGCTGGTTTTTTTAGCAATGCTAACTAAATAAGCAATGGCAAATGAATTTAATAAATAAAGTAAAGTAAAGTAAAATAAAGTAAAGTAAAGTAAAGTAAAGTAAAGTAAGTAAAGTAAAGTAAAGTAAAATAAATAGTGTATCTCTACAAGCAATATTTAAAAGTAGCTATTTGTGATGTAATATTAAATAATCAAAAGCTATGCAGGAACAAGTGTGCTATCATTCATCCATCCATCCATTCATTCATTCATACAAAGAGACTTGAGTACAGCATGTATAGGAAAAGTAATTTTTACAATGTGTTATAGGCAAAACAAGTTAGTAACATTTGCACAATGCATAATTAAATTGTCTTTTGTTTCTCCTAGCAAGATACAAGAATCAACCGATCTTTGCGCAAATTGGATCTCCATGTCCTTCCAGTGTGGCAAAAGGGCATCACAGGCAAAGGGATTGTCATAACAGTGCTTGATGATGGCTTGGAGTGGAATCACACAGACATTTACTTTAACTATGTGAGTTTAATATTTCAGTAGCAATCACTATGTTTTCATTTCCAATTTCATGACGAGATTCTTGGAGTTTAAAAATATTCCTATTCAATAATAAACGTGATTGGGTGTCTTCACCCAATTGTTTGTCAACTTAATCTGTAGACTCTGGAGAGAATTCAAAAGAGTTAAAATCACTTGTTGCATGATGATTGGGTAGAGAAATGCAAATATGACAAATAACTCAAAAACATGAGCTATTATTGATTTTTTTTAAAAAAGGAGAACGCTTTATTAATATGTTTTACATACTGCAATTATGTACAATTGTTGGCATCCCAGATAGACATTGTGTTGACCACTGAAGAAACAGAAAGGGAGACTAGATAAGTTTCCATTCTGGTTTGCTTTGATTCTTCTTATATTCCTACCTCTGTTGCTTTAGCAATTGTTTATAGCTGTTACAGCTATTTTCTTAATTAACATTTAGGATCCTGATGCAAGTTATGATTTCAATGACAATGATCACGATCCATTTCCCAGATATGATCCTACAAATGAAAATAAGTGAGTAACTATCTACTTTAATACACTCTTTGATATATATTGCTAGTTGTTTCTGGAATTACTGGCTGATTTTCAATGATATTCACTGTTGCTTTATATTATCTACCTGAATTAAACTTTAAGAGCAGTAGCAAACAAAACTAATTCTAGACCACGGAGTTGTTGTTGTCATCCTTCGCTGCACAGCCAGAAAATGTCACATTTATATTTTATTTCTTTTCATAATTTCCCTTTGCTCAGGATTGCATTAAAATATTTCCATTTGCTGGGCCAAGGGAGATAGATCTCCATACTGATTTTCTATACTTTCACCACAGTGAGACGAGATCTCTTGTTTTATCTTGTTTTGTCCTGATGTAGATTTTAGTATTGTCTAGTAGTCATGGTGTTGAATAGGTAGTTTCAGTGAATGTGAAATTAAATTTCAAATGTCATTTATGCAGTCAACACGTGAGCCTACATTTTGGGATTCTATTATTAAAGTGCATGGCACTTCATTATATAAATGACTAATCTAAACTGGTTTTATTCAGATGTTGGATTGGTTATGATTTAGATGAAACAATATGATAAATAACACACACACATACATGTTCCCATTTCCAATTGATGACACAATCCCAATAACAATAATGGATGGACTTCAACTGTGTGATCAGGCTGCCTTACTGCCTTTTTTGATTACTACCACCATGGACACTCCTGAAATAAAAGTTGTGAGACCAGTGCATATTTAGTTGAGAGGAGCAATGTGAATAGAGTGAAGATTTAGTATTTAGTGGAGGACTGCATTGATATGGTTTATGTTGGTTTCAGAAGCAGAGGATCAGCCCATCTGTTCACTTCAAGTGTAGAATCGTAAACATATAATACTTCCCAAGATAATTAAGATAGAATGTCAATTTGTTTATGATACAATAAGGTTCACCAACACCTATTTAAGGCAAATAATATTGAATTCCTTGTGTGGATTCTATTGTAACAGTATTATTTATATATATATATATATATATATATATATATATATATATATATATATATATATATATATATATATATATATATATATATGTTTTCTGAGGTTTTCGCGGGTATTTGTATGTAGGTCTTTGGTTTTTCGGGTTTTCTCCCGCGTAAAATTGGAAGTGTCTTGGCGACGTTTCGATGAAGTCCCATTCGTCATCTTCAGGCTGGTGTTTTCAGCTTCGTGCTTCGAGCAGCAATGTGTGGTCTTAGCTGTTTCTTCCTTTTAACTGCCAGTGGGGGTATGAACTGATTGGGTGGGAGCTTGGCTGTGTTCTGATTGGGTGGAGGTGTGTTCTGATTGGTTAGGGGCTTGGCTGTGCTCTGATTGGCTGGGGGAGTGTTCTGTTTGGTTGTGCTCAGGTTAGTCTGAGTTGCAGAGGGGTTTAAGATTTTGGGCTGCCTTGCTATTTTTTGGCTTCGTGTTTGTGGTCGTGCCTCATCTTCATGGAGGGTGTCAGTTTGCTTCATGTATGGATTGGAGGGCTTTAAAGTGGCTAATGATGCAGCTGTGGTCTGGCTTCTGGTTTGTGGTCGTGCCTCATCATCGGTGTGGCTTTGGGTTTGTTTTTTGCGTGGATGTGTGGTGGTGACATCCTGTGTGGTTTTTGTGAGTGTGGGTCTGGTATCATTTTTTGTGTTAGGGAGTCGTTTGTCAATAAGGGCGGGTTTCCAAATGGCTGGTAGGCGGGAGGTATCATCTCGCTTGTTCATGCTGTGTGGGCGTTTTTCTATCTCGATGGCTTCTCTGATTATTCTGTTATTAAAATGTTCACTTTTGGCAATGGTTCTGGTATTTTTAAAGTCAATTTCATGTCCTGTGGCTTTAAGGTGTTGGACCAGGGAAGATGTTGGTTCCTCTTTTTTGACTGAGTTCTTATGTTCTTCAATGCGTGCACTTATTCTTCTGTTGGTTTGTCCGATGTATGTGGTGGGACAAGTGGTGCATGGGATTTCGTATACTCCTTGATTTTCTAATTCAATTTTATCTTTGGGGTTTCTAAGGATGGTGGATATTTTTCTGTTTGTGCAGAATGCTGTTTTGATGTTGTGTTTATGGAGGATCTTACTGATTCTGTCTGTGGTGCCTTTTATGTATGGGAGGAGGGCTTTGCCGTTTTCTTGTTCTTTGTCTTGGATTTTAGTGGGGGTTTCTTTTTGGATTAGGTTTGTAATCTTATTTCTATGGAATCCATTGGATGTTAGTACATTGGTGAGAGTGTGTAGTTCGGGTTTTAGGTGTTGTTCGTCAGCTAAGCGTTTTGTTCTGGAGATGAGTGTCTTGGCTACAGAGTTGATCTGTGCTGGGTGGTGGTGTGAGAGAGCGTGCAGATAGCGGTTTGTGTGTGTTTTCTTCTGGTAGATGGTGTGTCCTAGGGAGCCATTGGATTTCTTGTAGACTAAGACATCCAGGAAGGGAAGTTGGTTGTTAGCTTCTGTTTCCATGGTGAACTGTATTTTGGGGTGTAGGCTGTTGAGGTGTGTGAGGAAGTTGTCCAGTTTTTCTTTCCCATGTGGCCAGATTATGAAGGTGTCGTCTACGTATCTGAGCCAGAGTTTGGGTTTGTGATCCGATTTTTCTAGAGCTTGGGTTTCAAAGTGTTCCATGTAGAGGTTTGCAATGACAGGTGAGAGGGGTGATCCCATGGGTGCTCCTTCTGTTTGTTTGTATTTTTGTCCATTATAGATGAAGTATGTGTTGGATAGGCAGTGGTTGGTCAGATCTAAGATGTGTTTGGGGGGGTTATATTTGTTTTGGATAGCTGTCAAGGCTTCTTTGATAGGCACTTGGGTGAAGAGGGATATGACATCGAAGCTCACTAGTAGGTCGCTGGGCTGTAAGTTTTGTTTCTTTATGATCTCTATAAACTGGAATGAGTTTTTTACGTGTGAGGTGATGGATTCTGCATAGGGCTGTAGTTGTTTGGCGAGAAATTTGGCTAGGTTTTGTAGAGGTGAGCCTATGGAGCTGACTATAGGTCTGAGTGGGGTTCCTTCCTTGTGTATCTTGGGGAGACCATAGAGTTTGGGGCATCTGGATGATTTCTCTCTGGGAATGATTCTTTGCTGGATCTCTTCGCTAATGGGGGAGGCTTTTATTTTGGATCTGGTGGTTTTTTCCAGGTAGGTGGTGGGATCTGTATTTAGGGGTTTGTATGTGGAGTCTTGGAGTAGGTTGGTTAATTTGGTTTGGTAGTCAGATGTGTTCATAACCACCGTGGCGTTGCCCTTGTCTGCTGGTAGGATTATTATGCTGGTGTCTTCTTTCAGGTTACGTAGTGCTGTCTGTTCCTCTTTGGGTAAGTTGCTTTTGGGTGGCTTGCTGGTGCAGAGGATGTTGGTGATTTCGAGTCTGATTCTGTTAGCGTCGTCGGGGTTGATTTTGGTCAGGCTGGTTTCAACTCCACATATAATGGTTTCAGTGGGGATGTGTTTGGGAGTGACTGCAAAGTTGAATCCTTTGGAAAGGACATTGGTTTCGGCTTTGGTGAGGATCCTATCTGAGATGTTATGCACTGTTTGTTTCATGTGTGGCTGTGAGGGAGGAGGGGTTTGTTTCTGGCATTCTTGTAGTCTTCGGAGTTTGTTGGTGTGTGTATCTGTCTTGAGGGTGGTCTGTGTTTCGGCTCTCCAGACGGCGAGTTGTTTGGATTTGTCCCAAAGTGTGGGGTGGGTCTTGTTGCTGAGTTTGAGGTGGAGTGTGAGGAGATCTTTGTTAATTCGGTCTAGGAGGAATCTTTTTGTGTGAAGTTCATTTCTGATTAGGGCCAATTCTGTTCTTTTCAGGATCCGTTTGGTGGCTGCAGAGTTGGAGTGGAATTTCAGTTGGAAACATGTGGGGATTAGATTTTGATCTCGGCAGTTGCGTAGGTATGTGAGGTCGCATAAAATGGAAGCTCTTTGGACCTCAAGTTTTTCATAGGTCCTGGTCAGATGGTGGATTTCCTCCCCGTAGAGGTTCGATATTTGTTTTCTGAGGTTTTCGCGGGTGTTTGTATGTAGGTCTTTGGTTGTTCGGGTTTTCTCCCGCGTAAAATTGGAAGTGTCTTGGTGACATTTCGACGAAGTCCCATTCGTCATCTTCAGGCTGGTGTTTTCAGCTTCGTGCTTCGAGCAGCAATGTGTGGTCTTAGCTGTTTCTTCCTTTTAACTGCCAGTGGGGGTATGAACTGATTGGGTGGGAGCTTGGCTGTGTTCTGATTGGCTGGGGGGTTGGCTGTGCTCTGATTGGCTGGGGGAGTGTTCTGTTTGGTTGTGCTCAGGTTAGTCTGAGTTGCAGAGGGGTTTAAGATTTTGGGCTGCCTTGCTATTTTTTGGCTTCGCGTTCGTGGTCGTGCCTCATCTTCATGGAGGGTGTCAGTTTGCTTCATGTATGGATTGGAGGGGTTTAAAGTGGCTAATGATGCAGCTCTGGTCTGGCTTCTGGTTTGTGGTCGTGCCTCATCATCGGTGTGGCTTTGGGTTTGCTTTTTGCGTGGATGTGTGGTGGTGACATCCTGTGTGGTTTTTGTGAGTGTGGGTCTGGTATCATTTTTTGTGTTAGGGAATCGTTTGTCAATAAGGGCGGGTTTCCAAATGGCTGGTAGGCGGGAGGTATCATCTCGCTTGTTCATGCTGTGTGGGCGTTTTTCTATCTCGATGGCTTCTCTGATTATTCTGTTATTAAAATGTTCACTTTTGGCAATGGTTCTGGTATTTTTAAAGTCAATTTCATGTCCTGTGGCTTTAAGGTGTTGGACCAGGGAAGATGTTGGTTCCTCTTTTTTGACTGAGTTCTTATGTTCTTCAATGCGTGCACTTATTCTTCTGTTGGTTTGTCCGATGTATGTGGTGGGACAAGTGGTGCATGGGATTTCGTATACTCCTTGATTTTCTAATTCAATTTTATCTTTGGGGTTTCTAAGGATGGTGGATATTTTTCTGTTTGTGCAGAATGCTGTTTTGATGTTGTGTTTATGGAGGATCTTACTGATTCTGTCTGTGGTGCCTTTTATGTATGGGAGGAGGGCTTTGCCGTTTTCTTGTTCTTCGTCTTGGATTTTAGTGGGGGTTTCTTTTTGGATTAGGTTTGTAATCTTATTTCTTTGGAATCCATTGGATGTTAGTACATTGGTGAGAGTGTGTAGTTCGGTTTTTAGGTGTTGTTCGTCAGCTAAGCGTTTTGTTCTGGAGATGAGTGTCTTGGCTACAGAGTTGATCTGTGCTGGGTGGTGGTGTGAGAGAGCGTGCAGATAGCGGTTTGTGTGTGTTTTCTTCTGGTAGATGGTGTGTCCTAGGGAGCCATTGGATTTCTTGTAGACTAAGACATCCAGGAAGGGAAGTTGGTTGTTAGCTTCTGTTTCCATGGTGAACTGTATTTTGGGGTGTAGGCTGTTGAGGTGTGTGAGGAAGTTGTCCAGTTTTTCTTTCCCATGTGGCCAGATTATGAAGGTGTCGTCTACGTATCTGAGCCAGAGTTTGGGTTTGTGATCCGATTTTTCTAGAGCTTGGGTTTCAAAGTGTTCCATGTAGAGGTTTGCAATGACAGGTGAGAGGGGTGATCCCATGGGTGCTCCTTCTGTTTGTTTGTATTTTTGTCCATTATAGATGAAGTATGTGTTGGATAGGCAGTGGTTGGTCAAACACATCTTAGATCTATAAAAGTGTCTTGGCGACGTTTCGACGAAGTCCCATTCGTCATCTTCAGGCTGGTGCTTTCAGCTTCGTGCTTTGAACAGCAATGGGAGAAAACCCGAACAACCAAAGATCTACATACAAATACCCGCGAAAACCTCAGAAAACATATATATATATATATATATATATATATATATATATATATATATATATATATATATATAATATATTACAATAATGAACGGTTTTCAAAGGATGAATATTTTCAGGTTTTGTAAAATATATCATTCTGCTTAGCTGGAGCAGTTATTGGTAATAATTGACCATTATCCACTGATTTAAATTTTCTCAAATCTGCCATCTTTGCATAACAACTACTCTTTCTGATAAATGTCAATGGAATTCAAACTGGCAGCATTCAACAGCTTCAGTGCATACCGAACTGTGCTATTAAATAAAGCAGCTTATCACAAAAGGACTATCATTTGATGCAGTGAAGAGTTTCTGGAATGTGGAATAGAAAATATTGTTCTATTTAGTCTCTGTAAATAAAAAGGACAAACTGTATATTTAAATCTAATCATCTCAATAAATAACTTGATATCTGTTATTCATTAAAGCTATGCATTTTCATTGGTCTCTTGAATATTGAGTTTATTCTTGAAATTAATTCATGATAGCATCAATATGTGTTGGGAAAACAATAGGCATACTCACTGAAGAATTCTTGTAGATCCAACACATCAGAATGACATCAGCTTGACTAAAGTTGTTCTGTGTTTTATAATCATTCAGGATGATTTCATAATTAGGGTAACTTACTTGTTTATCCCCAACTTGCCAAATTTGTTTGACAGTAGAACAATAGACCGTAGATCCAACATGACTGGGTTGGCTACACATTGACTGTTTTTTTTTCAGTCAGTGCAACACACTGAACTCTGAAAAATGCTGATTTTTCGATCAGTTGCAATCTCTCAGTCTAAGATCAGAACGCTATCATTGGTATCAGTGATAATGTTTAGGGGGGAAAAAATCAAAGAAAAATCCATGGTGGTACAGAACAGATAAAATCAATGTAGCCTCATCTCACCAACATTGTTTGCTCCTTTTTTAAACCACCAGCAATGCAGTTGCAGCAGGTGAGTAAAAAGAAAACAAAGACAGTGTTCCTAGAAAAATCTCTATTGTTATGGAATCACTCCAGAATTTTGTCTGTTTTAAATGGTTGATTGGGGGAATGGGTGCCTAGTTTAAGGTTAATTAAGTAGAGATGGGCGTATTAACTTAATAAATAAACTACATTGTGGTATTCATGTAACCCTCTAATCTTCTCCTACAATTTTGTTGATCATGTTGTGCAAACAGGGCTATGTAATTAGTTCCTTTTAGCTCCATCTGAATTTCATATACTCAAATGAATAATAATTACATAATAAGATTTGAAGATGACCCATATAATACTGATTTTGTTGCAGACATGGAACACGATGTGCAGGAGAGATTGCCATGCAAGCAAACAACCTAAAATGTGGAGTTGGAGTGGCATACAATTCAAAAGTTGGAGGTAAAAAATATAAACAATAATTCTTTTTTAGCAGTCTGTTTCTTTGCTGGAGTACTGTTTGAAATGCTAGTGGAGAGGTACTGAACAAAGGAATATTAAATTGAATAGCAGGGACTGAAGAAATGATGGTACGCTTTCTGTTTCTATTATGCATTCTGATTGTTCAAAAATTTAAAGGGTTATTCATTGCTGCAGTTTAATGGATTTCAACAGAACACTGAAAATAATACTTTCATTAAGTACCATAATCCCTGAGCATTAGTGGCTGATTAGGTTGCTACTATATACTTATTCATGTGGCCTACAAATGTGGGCTGAAATTTAGCTATTTATTATTGTTTTTGTCAATGCATGTTGATGCAAGCATGTCGTGGCCTCAACTATGTATTCAAACTTCTACTATCACATTCAACTTTCAGGACATAAGAGTTAGTTTTCCTTTAACTCTGATAAAAAGCAACCTTTTAGTTTCTAAATTTTAAATGTGACTTACTAATATGCTATTAGTTTGGAGAGGAAGAGGTTTTTTAAGAAATTAGAGGAAAGTCAACAAAATAATCAACTCAACAAGAGTATGTATGCATGTTTATATGTATGTATCCATTAGTTAATTTACAATAGTATAGATTTTTAAAAATTCTGTAAGTAATCCCTTCATTGTATTGTTTTTATTTTGTTTTTCAAATAAATAAATGATATATACCTCATCACAAAAAATCAAACCTCTAAAGCAGTGTTTCTCAATCTTAAAAATATTATGTATGGACCAACACAGAATTTCCCAGCTAGCATCCTAGGAGTTGAAGTCCACATGGCTTAACTTGGCCAAGACTGAGAAACACTGCTCTAAAGTAAAGGCCATTTTCTCATCAGTCAAGCTTCCATCATTAAACAGTCTTTTGGCAAAGATAACGTCTTTCATATTAACATATTTCATATTAAAGTTGTACACCAGCCTTTTGGTGATTAACAGAAGAAGGGATGCAGTTTAGCATTGTGGGATGAAGATGAGGGGAGGGATCTGATCTCTTTGAAGAATGACCAGAAAATGGAAACCAACCATAGGACACTGTAGAAAAATATGCTGAGTGCCACACTGAATTTTCCTGTGCTACCATCCTTCCGGTCTCTTTGCTGATATACAAGTGATCAAACAGTTTCTTTTCAAATCTGATTTTGTTTTCCTATTTCACATTTTTTTAAAACAATTGGATCTCAAACCAGAGTCAAAAAGAATCTGCTACAGTGGATATAAAAAGTCTACACAATCTCTGTTAAAATGCTAGGGTTTTGAGATGTAAAAAGATTAGACCAAGATAAATCACTTCAGAATTATTTCTACCTTTAATATAACATATAAGCTGCACAATTCAACTGAAGAACAATCTGAACTCTTTTAGGGAGAAAAATAAAAATAAAAAACTTATAATAACATGATTGCATAAAGATGCATACCCTTAACTATCGAAGCACCTTTTGATTTGATGACAGCATTCAGTCTTTTGGGGTAGGAGCCTATCAGCATGGCATATCTTGCCTTGGGAAATGTTGCCTATTCCTCCTTGCAAAAGTGCTCCAAATTTGTCAGATTGCAAGAGCATCTCCTGTGCACAGCCCTCTTCAGATGATTCCACAGATTCTCAATTGAATTCAGGTCCGGGCTCTGGCTAAGCCTTTCTAAAACTTTGATATTTTTCTTGTGAAGCCATTCTTTTGATATGGAGGCGTTTTGAGTTGTTGTATTGAAAGGTGACATTTCTCTTCACCTTCAGTATTTTAGCAGAGGTCTGAAGGTTTTGTGACAAAATTGACTGGTATTTGGAATTGTTCATAATTCCCTTCACCTTGACTAAAGCCTCTGTTCCAGCAACCACAAAGCATAATGCTGCAACCATTGTGCTTCACTGTAACTTCGGTGAACTTTTGGTGATGCAGGGTGTTGTTTTTGTGCCAAACATACTTTTTGGAATTATGGGCAAAAGGTTGAACCTTGGTTTCATCAACACATTTCCCCACATATTTTTGCCAGATTTCATGTACATTTTTGCAAATGTAGCTGGGCTTGGATATGTTTTTTTGTAAGGAAAGGCTTTCACCTTGCCACCCTGTCCCACAACCCAGACATTTGAAGAATACAGGAGATTGTTGTCACATGTAGTACACAACCAGTACTTGCCATGGATCTTTGCAACTCCTTTAACATTGTTGTAGGCCTCTTGGCAAAGTTGTTTTTCTGGTTGTTGGTAATGTCACTGTTGTGCCATATTTTCTTCACTGACTGACTTTACTGTGCTCCATGATATATTCAATGCTTTGGCAAATTTTTTGTACCTTCTCCTGACTGATACCTTCCAAGAAGAGGTCAGACAAAACACAAATTAATGACTGATTGGAGTTTCTCTCTCTCTTCTAAAGGGATCAGAATGCTGGATGGCATAGTCACAGATGCCATTGAAGCTAGTTCAATTGGATTCAATCCTGATCACGTGGATATTTATAGTGCCAGTTGGGGTCCAAATGATGATGGGAAAACTGTTGAGGGGCCTGGCAGACTAGCACAAAAAGCTTTCGAATATGGAATTAAAAAGGTAAGACCTCTTAACACAGAGTGAAAAAGCAGTTAATATGTGCCAGAAAATAAAAAGTTTCCTTTGTTAGTTTGAGGAGTTGCTTAGTCAATTTAGAAACAGCAATTTCAAAAAATAGAACCTACTAGAAAGATCTCAGCAAAATATCTTTACAGTATGTATATTTAAGGGTTTAACATCTAAATCACTGGGTTGTTTTCTATCATCACTCTCACACTTACATGTTTTTCTTTTTTTCTTTGCTGGCTTTTTTCTACTTGTTTTCCTTTGAACATTAATGGGATTTTATACAAAAAGCTCCTATAAAATATTAATAGAAATGGTCTACTTCCTGAATATTGCATTATTATCTTGTATAGCGTCAAAATTTGATGCATTATTTTATAACAGAATACGTAGCTCAGTTAGTTATAATTAAGATGATGTGAATACTTGAGAAAAATAGCCTTCTTGTTGGTCCTTTAGATCCAGTTAAGGATGTAGTTGAAGTTCATGGGCAGTGTTTTATACTTTTTAATTCTAAAAACTAAGATAACATTTAAACTCACTTATATTTAAACCCACTTACCACTTACCTCTGGTATCAATAGAGAGATCTGCCTTATGTTTTTTTCTGCAGTTTGACTTATCCAATTTTTCAAGCTATTCTTTCATTAACTGTCCTTTCACAATTTAGATAGACCAATGTTTGGGGCTGATAATCTGATAGGAGGTGGACTTGTTGACAGCTGCAGCTAATACTTGACTCAGCTCAAGTTCCTATTTCCCAATTTCACTGAAAGTGAAGGTATAAAACAATCATCAGTTAGTTGTTTTAATAATTATCTAAATATTAAAACAATTTACACAACTTGGTAACATTTGCACATATTATTTCTAACCTTCTCATCCTTGAGAATTGTTGGTTCAACATAACAGAAGAAAACCAAACTGGGGAAAACTGAATTCTAACAATTTCATCACTAACTTGGAATTTTATTTTGGAAGAAGAAAAGAGTTTTCCTCCACTAAGGATGAAGTCAAGAGATGCTCTATCTGGAAATAAAATGAATTCATTAAATTTAAGGTCAATACTGGGAAATGCATCAGTTTTTTGCTTTTGTCAATCCCTTGCAACACAATCACACTTAAAAAAAATAAATTAGGATTAAAAAAAAATTAGTACAAAGAACGAATAGCAGTTGCCAGCTGCCACCATAATGCTTCCATGAAGGTCGTTGGCCACTTGCTGCTTCTCCAAAATAATATTTTATTTATTTGTTTTGGTTTGGTTTTTTTGGCTTGAGAAATGAGATGGGCAAGATACAGAATCATTTGAGGTAGATTGTGGACTTTACTTTAAAATCAATGTTTTTCAGGAGGGGAAGTGCCCAGTCCAAACTGAGGATCCTCTAATTATGTCCTTTTGTAACACAGAATTACTGGATAAAAACCGTGTGGGTTCAAATAATCTGCTATACTAAACTATTATAATTTGGGGTGGTTGTGGTTCTATTCTGTTATTACAGGTGCTGATTAGCACTGCTGCTTTTTAGCGTGTTGCATGAACCAAACTATCATTGCTATCAAAATAACCCTATGTTTTTAATTTGTTTAAGCATAGCATTAAAATGGGGGAGCAATGGCTTAGCAGTTAAAGATGCTGAGCTTTTCAGCTGGAAAGCTGACAGTCTGGGTTCAAGACCCGAGTACTGTTCTATGGGGTGAGCTCCCATTACTTGCCCCAGCTCCTGCCCACCCAGCTGTTTGAAAGCATGCAAATGTGAGTAGATAAATAGGTATCACTTTGGTGGGAAGGTAAAAGCATTGGCATATAGTCATGTTGGCCACATGGTCACAGAAAAGTCTTCAGACAATGCTGAGTCCCTTGGCTAAAAAAGGGAGATGAGCACCACTTTCTAGAGTTGGACATGACTGGACAGGGGAAAGCTTTATCTTTATCTTTAGCATTTTAAAACCCAGCAATTGTATATTTAATTTGGGCTTAGGGTTTAATAAGCTATGCAAATTTAGCCTATCTTTTTGCATTACCCTTTTTTCTTTCTTCTGCCTCTTATTTCTCTTTTGCTATCATTCTCTTCTTTCCTTTGCTGTTTTCCCTTGTTCTCTTTTTATTTCATTTCAGTCTTTGGAGAAAATTATTCTCTTACTTCTCTTTTTCTCAGTCTGTTCATTCCTAATTTTTGAAGAAGCTTTCATATACATGAGGAATACCATGGGGCATCAAAATGACACACCAGCATGCCATACATTCTACCCTTTTTATATTCCCTGGTAACATCATGACGCACGTATGAAATGGAAGGACTTGCACTGTGACAACACAATGGGTTCTTCATCATTTTGAGCCCCTTGCTCCATCATTGTGGACACAGCTGTCCTGATTCATTTCTGAATTTTAAATTTTCCCTATGACATCAAGAGAGAGGTTTGAGAGAAAGTCTGAAGGTCAGTGTCTTGGACTTTTACCACAAACTATACAGAGGACAATTCTTCATCCTTGCTTTCCTCCCAGCATAGCTAGGTTTGACAGAGATTAGACATTTTCCGAAGTAAGGCAAATAAGGAGTCATATTTTCCTAACGAGAGTTATTAACATTTTCTACATGAACAATTCAAGAAAAGGGTTCTTTTATTATCATTATATATGAACTATATCTTTAAAAATTCACTCAAGCATATTAATAAATGAGACACTTTTTACAGTGAATATACTTTTATTAATCTTTTTTTTTAAGTAGAAACTTCCTACTAAAATGTTAATAGTTTCCTAGCTCCAGCTCTACAGTATTTTTTATTTTTAGATGGCCTTTTCTTTTTGTATAATCTTGTGGGGTATATATGTGTGTGATTTTGTTTATAGCTCATTACTCAGAAAGGCAGCTAGTGATGAGCAGGAACAATTAATTTCTGATGTTAACAAAATAACAGAATAACAGAATTGGAATAGACCTTGGAGGTCTTCTAGCCCAACTCTCTGCTCATGCAGGAAACCCTATACCATCTCAGACAAATGGTTCTCCAATCTCTTCTTAAAATTTCCAGTGTTGGAACACTCACAACTTCTGCAGATAAATTGTTCCACTGATTAATTGTTCTAAATATCAGAAAATTTCTCCTTAGTTCTAGGTTCATTCTCTCCTTCATTAGTTTCCATCCATTGCTTCTTGTCCTGCTTTGGAGAATAGGTTGACCCCCTTCTTCTTTGTGGCAGCTCCTTAGATATTGGAACACTGCTATCATATCACTCCCTAGTCCTTCTTTTCATTAAACTAGAACATACCCAATTCCTGCAACTGTTATTCATATCCTTCAGGCCCCTAATCGTCTTTTTAGAGTCTCAACCAGTGGTGGGATTCAGCTGGTTTGCACCAGTTTGGCAGACCCGGTAGTTAATTTTTTGTTGCCCAGGCCCAGAATGGACTTCCGGAAGCGGCATCCACACCAAGAACCAGTTGTTCACATATTTGAATCCCACCACTGGTCTCAACATCTTTTTTATATTGTAGTGACTAAAACTAGATGCAATATTCCAAGTGTGTTCCTACCAAGGCCTTATAAATGGACTAACACTTCATTTTATACTTCTGTTAATGTAGCCTAGGACTGCATTGCCTTTTTTGGCAGCTGCAGCACACTGCTGGCTTATATTTATGTGATTGTCTACTAGGAATCCAAAATCCCTCTCACAGTTGCTACTATTGAGCCAGGTGCCATCTATACTATACCTGTGCATTTGGTTTTTATTGCCTAAAAGTAGCACCTTACTTTTTTCGCCATTGAATTTCATTTTGTTAGTTAGGTCTGTCAAGATCTTTCTGTATCTTGAACCTATCTTCTGGAGTGTTGGCTATTCCTGCTAGTTTGGTGTCATTTGCAGATTTGGTGTATTCCCCTCATCTAAATCATTGATGAAGATATTGAAGAGTCCTGGGCCTAAGACAGAGCCTTGGAATACTTCACTGCATACTTCCCTCCATGTAGATACAGTTCCATTAAGGGCTACACATTAATTACTGTTAATTATTGGAGAACCAAGAGTTATGAAACAACAGGAAAATACAGAGTTAAAGGCTTTATTACTTCATTCTATGAAATGGACATGCCAAGCACCAAGTCTTAAGATGCTAGTGCACTTGTATTGACTCTTGCTAGTCACATAGATAATGCATTATCACTATTTCTGTTGCAATACAAAGATGTGCTAGAATCATTTGTCTTCTCTCTGAGCAATATTGCTTACCTTTCTTTTCTTTTAGTTGGCAGATCATTGGTTAATAAATTTTATATTCAATGCAGCAAATGGCCTTGAACTGAATAAGTACTGCAGTCAAAGTTTGAGCTGGATTTGGGCAAAGTTGTGGATGTCTGAGGTCTATACATTAAGGCTAAGAATAGTCCTTTTAAAAGAAATTATCAACAAATAGTGTACACTCCATTTAATTATTTAGTGCTTTATTAAATGATTGTGATGGAATAGATGCACTGTATGAAATATATATTAGTGTTTCCCAGAATATTAATTTGTAATGCAAGAAATGTGCAGCTATTGTTTATTAGTTCCATAATTCCTCCGATTCCTTAGGGAATATAGCTATGTTTCCAAGATTGTGTAGACATCAACACATCATTGCTAGGAAAATAACAGCACTTTAACTTCTAATGTATTGTATTTTAAAGAATGAAAATGATTTGGCTTATTGCAAACAATAAGTATGATATCATGGATCATGAATTATTTTCCCCATAATAAAATTTGCATGCCAAGTATTAGAAAGGGGGAATCTCAAACAAAAACAAACTTTTGTCAGTGCAGTGAATTTTACCCCAAACAGTGAACCTTCAGTCTTCACTTAGAAAAAAGTGTTTGGACATCTGAAATAGACCACCCTTAATTTTTTGTTTGATATGAATTAGTTTGAACCCCACAAGAGGCCTTCTACATTTTGGAGTGTGCAATGTCTATTTTTATCTTTACCAGCTTAGAGACTGGCCAACATTTCATTCTATGAGAATTCATTCTATGAGAAAATCCCATTCTTGTGGACTTTTGCACCAATAGATTATACTGTTCCTGCTTTCCCTATTAAAATGTATTGCCTATCCAGCAACAACTCTCTCAGACAGAACCATCAGGACAGCCAAAGTCCTGAGAAAGGCTCATTTTGTTGTTTCTGTCCACTGATTATAGTTTTCACCCCAACTCTGTGTGAGCTCCTTATTGTGTCCTCATTTCCTTTGTACCCTCAGCTTTCTGACTTACATGTTAGCCCTTCAAACATTTCAGTCCATTATCTTATTTTTATCATTAGACCTTATCTTAGGATCTCTTTAGATAAATTAAGCTTTTATTCATGCAGGGAAAATGCCCTTGCTTACATTGTTCTATGGCCGGATCATTCCCTTCAGATCATTCAAAAACATTCTATGATATGTAGATCTACTGCTTACCTTTAAACCAATTAAAGATATGGATCTGTCAAACAAAATAAGGGAGCATCCTTACCCTGATTCTCATGTTAAGGCTTAGTGACAAAATCAGCATAAAAATTACATCTGGGGGAAAGTGCACACATATTTACAATAATCATCTCTTTCCTTTAATTTCCTTTAGGGAAGAAAAGGGAAAGGTTCCCTTTTTGTCTGGGCTTCAGGGAACGGTGGCCGTCAAGGAGATAACTGTGACTGTGATGGTTACACAGACAGCATCTACACAATCTCCATCAGCAGTGCTTCACAGCAAGGCCATTCTCCTTGGTATGCAGAGAAGTGTTCCTCAACACTGGCCACAGCATACAGCAGTGGGGACTATTCTGACCAAAAAATTGTAGGTTGTTTTTACCAGATTTAACCAACATTGGGGGGGGGGAGGCAGCCACAAAGCAATTTGGAAAGCAGAGATGGTAAACTCATAGAAACTAGTCTTAATGCTCTAACAATCATAATTCAGATATGGTGAGTATTTTTATTCAGGATTAAAATTTATTTTTTAAGTAAGCTTCTGGAAAAAATGTGGTTGGTGATTGGTGACATTGGGAGGTATTTTGGGAAGAGAGCTGAAGGAATTTTAAAAGATAAATTCAGTTTGTAAATATTTCAAGAAAAAGCTATCAAAAGCACACCACAAACATATTGCTGAAATAACATACAATCACCTTTTGTTCAAATGGGATTCCATATTTCCTGCCTGCAAAAATAATGCAACTTCTATATAAAGGAAACCCCCAAAGCTAATATTCAAAGGATTGTAGCTCTCTGGAGAAAAGAAAAACCTGAACTGAATTTGCTTTCACTATCAAGATTAAAAATTAGGAAGTTTCTTTCAATATTAATAGCAGGAAACTTCTCCAACTGATAGATTATTGTGGATATGTTCAATTATGTGATGTACAACCTCACCTATAATAGTAATCAAAGGAGGAGTTAGTGCAAACCTATTCAATTCAAATAGGAAAATACAGAATAAGGCTGAGAAACAGTACCTATTTTTAAGAAGTAATTATGTGAGTTTAAACAGTTTTAACCTCCTGTAAACCTTCTATTAAATTGATTGTACTGTGGCCACTGTATAAACTGGATTCATTACTCTTGGTGAAATGTAACTGATGTCCATTGATTACTTCTGAGTGGAGGAGCAACCCCAGAGAGACTTGCTGCACAGAATAGAAAGACCTATTACTTGGGCAATATCAGACTCCATCACACTCACTTCTCATGCAACCACACTTTCCCTAACAGCAACACTGTTATTCACTTTCTGCACAGCCATCTTGGTCATTCTATGAGCAACACATAGAAAGCAGTCATCCAGGCAATAAATGGTTGTACAGCCATTTGTATAGACAGAAACTCCCACCATTGCTCTGATGGACTTCTCTAATCACCATCCATGGAGTAATTGGCTAGAGTGGCAAGCTTCTCTAAAGACCTATTTGCCACCAAAGCAATGAAGCAGTTTCTGTGAGCAATAGTCAAGAGATTGAGTAGAAGGTAGGGATTTGTCTCCAATTTATCATCTAACCATAGTCCACTGTTCAAAATGGACTATGGTTGGGAAATGCAAAATGATTGCCTGGATTCATGAAAGGGCAAGGGAGATAATGATACAGGAAGTATCAATACAATTGACCCTTCCATCTGATCTCTTGGGGTCAAGATATATGAAAAATGAAAGTGGATATAACCTCTTTCCAATAAATTCTAGTGTTTTGTTGAAAAAATAAAGAAAAAGGATAAAAATAACCAGTATGATTGATCAAAAACTTCAAAATTTTTCATCTAAGGTCTACAGATTCTACTATTGTACATTCACATACATACGTGTACACATTTCAATATTGTACTTCCACATACTGAAATTTTGCAGGCAGTAATGTGAAGCACTTTTTCCAGGCAGAGCACTTCATTTTCTAATAAACCATCTGTTTCATTTTCCAAATTACAGTGCTGTGCATTGTTAGACTGAGAAGAAGGGAAAGAAAAGTATTGACTATTAGCTCCTATGTGACTTTTAATCTGACAATCATTTTACAGTGATGCATTTTATGATTCAACAGTCATTCTGAAACATTTATTTTTATCTTACTGGGATTTCATAATAAGATGAGTGCCTTTGACATAGCATTATGTTCATTCAAAACGAGCTATTTCAATTAAAAATTGTAGGCAAAATAGACGGGGAGGGTTTTCAACTCTTATTTTATCTGGAAGAGAACAACATGTTCCAAGGCAATGATGGAGAAGAATGCTTTTGTGCATGGCCATGCTTAACCTTTATATGATGTTTATTTTCTTCAGATAAGTGCGGATCTACACAATGAATGTACAGCCACTCACACGGGGACCTCTGCTTCTGCTCCTTTAGCCGCAGGGATTTTTGCTCTAGCTCTAGAAGCCAAGTAAGTCTTCTTAAACTTCTTCCTAGTTAGGCATGCTTGAAACTTTGATTTAATTCACATTTTAAGCAACTGACCTGTTCCATATTACTAGCATAAACATCTGCAGCAGAATAACAAAACTATATTCAAACAGATATTAAAACCTGAAGTAAACTTTTCTTCTTGGATACATAGACCTGAACGACCACAGATAAACTGATATGGGATTGTAAAGAGAATGACCAATCTAATTCTATATTGTGATTATTGAGCTTTTTCTTGATGTCCTAATAGTACTGTTGCAGTTCCATTCTTTGAAACTTTTCAAAAACTCTCTTCAAAGAGGGCTTGAAGACAAGAATCAGAAAAAACACTAATAAGTAGACAGTAGAGAACAAATATAACACAATGATAAATAGAATAGAACCAATAAATGAGAATATTTGTAATTCAGAGTTGAAATGTTTTCTGAGCTTGGTTGTTTTCTTGCAGACATTTCATTACCCAAATTGGTAAAATCGTCAATGCTAGTGATGATGTTACTAGCACTGATGATGTTATCTAGTTTGGGTAATAAAATGTCTGCAAGAAAACAACCAAGTTCAGAGATCACCAAGGACTCCTCAAATAGAATAGAATAATAAATATTGTATAATAAGGCAACCCGATTAGCTAATCTATTTTCCCAGCAAAGAACAGAGTTCCTTTGTCTCTAAGTAGATTTCTGCATTTAGTATGAATCTTTTATGACGTTAAAAACAAAATACTGGTGGAAATTCAGTAGAGAGATGCTGATTACTGGGGCTTCTTAACTGAATGCTTATGCTTTAACTAACTGACTTACTGGGGTGTGTGGGGGGGTGAAAAGTTTTCTGTGCCTATTAAAATAGTGGATTATGGGCAAAGACTACAATGCTTTAAGATCAAAACTAACTAGAATTTTGTTTGTGATAGTCCTAATCTTACCTGGAGGGATATGCAACATTTGGTAGTCTGGACATCTGAATTCGATCCACTGGCCAACAATCCAGGATGGAAGAAGAACGGAGCTGGACTGATGGTGAACAGCCGATTTGGATTTGGATTACTCAATGCTAAAGCACTGGTAGATTTGGCTGATCCCAAAAGCTGGAAAGGAGTGCCAGAGAAGAAAGAATGCATAGTTAAAGACAATGACTTTCAGCCAAGGTAAGAGCTGACACTTTGCTATTTTAGCTTAGTTTTTAGCTGAACTCTGATCCAGAAACATATGGAAACCCATAGCCTTCCCATATAACATTTTTTCAACTGTCCCTAGGTGACTGCTTCCATCTGGCAGTGCTTCTACTATCTAACTGTATAGTAAAAATCCTTATAGATCCGGAAAAAGCAACAGTTGCAAGACGAATGGGGGAGGAAATGAATGGGGACTATGGCATACACTTTGCATACAAAAGGAACCAGATTCAATCTACCCAAACAACAAGTAGCATGTAAAACCTGACAGCCCAATCATCCTTCAGCTGGGGCCCACCACTATCTATATTTGTTTTGAACAGTGTTTCCCTGCAACAATAAATTATCTTGGTATTTTTTTCTCAATAAACATTAACTGCGCTTCAGAGCTTTATGGGAATTTAAAATTGCCTTGAAGGACTTCTGTCTTAGTAAAAAGCAACTATGTAAACTTTTCTTTAAAAGCAAAAGTTTGAACAAAAGCAAAACTTTACTGGTTTTATGTTTTTAATGTTGTCATTGTACACCGCCCAGAATCCCGCTGTGTGGGAGATGGGCAGTTCTTATATATGAGAAATAAGTAAATAAATTATCTTTGCAGATTTTTAAAACTGCATCAGAACTTCATGAAATAAATTAAGTTTCTAATCTTGTTGGCAGGTTATTAAAAGCTAGTGGTGAAGTTACCATTGAAATTCCTACCACAGCTTGTGAAGGTCAAGAAAATGCCATTAAATCCTTGGAACATGTACAGTTTGAAGCAACAATTGAATATTCCCGCAGAGGTGACCTTCATGTGACCCTGACCTCCCCATCAGGTAAGAGCATAACATTATTTCTGTACTAGCTAGTAATTGTGGCACAGTTTTGTTTTAATACCTCAATAGATACAAAAATAAAGCATACATTGAGAAAAGGAATACCTGCAACATATTAGAATGGAAATAAAGAAAATAATATCCTGAAATTTCAAATAAAAATATATATTTTTGAGAACATTTTGGATAGTGTGAATCAGTCAAATAGCAACTGATGTTATCTAAACCATGCACTTCATTTGTATTATCTACCCAAATCATGCATCTTTGCTGTATTAAAGTGGAAGAGAGAGAGCAACAAATCAGTAGCATTTCAGAAGAGTGCTTTATTTATTTATTTATTTATTTATGAGACTTATATACCGCTTTAAGTGCAAGCACTCTCTAAGTGGTGTACACCAGTAAGCAATGTATATATATATTTACATTGCCCCCAACAATCTGGGTCCTCATTTTACCTACCCCGGAAGGATGGAAGGCTGAGTCAACCTTGAGCCAGTGAGATCTGAACCGCTGACCTGCTGAACACAGTCAGCTAAAGTGGCCTGCAGTACTGCACCCTAACTGCTGCGCCACCTCAGCTGAAAACACCAGCCTGAAGATGACAAATGGGACTTTGTCGAAACGTCGCCAAGACACTTCCAATTTTACGCGGGAGAAAACCCGAACAACCAAAGACCTACATACAAACACCCGCGAAAACCTCAGAAAACAAATATAAGTACACAACATTATCTATTTGAGTTTATATATGGCCCTTTTCAGCAACTGTTTCACATTGATCTGGGTTCAACCCTATGCTTCTAGGTGCCCAAGTTTTCAGTACTTTTTCTGCAGCTGAGTTGATTGACTTCTGGCTCATCTCAAGCTCAAGAATCAATACCATGCCACCTTTTTCTCAGGCTTCCTAAACTGAACAGAGAGGTGGCTGTTGCTGGACAGCACTGCATTATTGGTCAGTTAGAGCAGGGGTCCTCAACCCCCCCAGTCCGTAGACCTGTACCGGTCCACAGCATGCCAGCAACTGGGCCACACAAACAAGCAAAGCCCCATCCACGAGATGCAGGCAGCACACAAAATCACGCACTCTCAGTCCGCAGAAAAACCTCTCTCCATGGAACCGGTCCCTAGTGCCCAAAAGGTTGGGGACCTCTGAGCTAGAGAGATTCCTGTCTGGTTCATGGTGAGTTCTCAGCATTGTGAAGACAGCAGCAATGAGGACGCAAAGATGATTCTGAGGGTACAGAGGATGAAACTGTGGTTGTGTGTCTTTTGCCTGAGGTTGCATTTTATATTATCCCATATTGGAATGTCACTTTTTTCTCTGATTCAGGGACCAAAACAGTCTTACTGGCTGAACGGCAAAGAGATAAATCACCTTATGGTTTTAAGGACTGGGATTTTATGTCTGTTCACACCTGGGGTGAGGATCCAACAGGAACCTGGGTTTTAAAAATAGTTGATATGGTGAGTAGGAAAAAATGTATGTGTGGATGCAAACTTAAAGTAAGATAGAGCAAAACATAATCATGATTAGCTCAAGTAAATATAGTTAGGAAATAGGTTAATGAAAACTAATTTTTCTGCAGCTTCAGTGGATAGGTGCAACTACTGCGGCCAACTACTGAATATAAAATTAAATGTATCATGTTCCTACTTGTATATTCTCTTGTCAAATAATATTAGTGCTTCAGTTGGAAAACCTTCCTTCCTTCCTTCCTTCCTTCCTTCCTTCCTTCCTTCCTTCCTTCCTTCCTTCCTTCCTTCCTTCCTTCCTTCCTTTGATTTTATTCTAAAACATGCCCTTTAATTTCAAGGTGAAAATTTTCTACTGACTTCAAATTGAACTATAATTTCCCTTACTCCCTTAGCACTAAGTTATAAAACTAGTTTCCCACCAGAAAAAACCCTTATTGAGCTGTGGATGGAATAGGCATAAAATAATATTAGCAATGAATAAATGATCAAATGTTTCACAACTAAAACTAGATACTGAAATTATGTGACAGCTTACTCCTCTAATTAAATAGACTTCTTTTTTGCCTTTTCCTTGATACCTCGTTAGGAACTAGAGACTTAGTTTTGAAAATTCCAGCCAAATATTTTAATACTGCCTGAGATCTTTAAGAAGGCAGAACTGCAATTGTGGATTGGTATATCAGTTAGAGTAAGACAAAATTTTGCAGCAATTACCTGGTACTTATGCTACAGGCAAAAAAGAGATTTTCTTTGAATGGTAATTCATACTGGATAGGTCTATTTGCTAGTTTTGGTCAACTAGTAAATATATTTCTTGCAGCTAATCGTTTCAGAAAAATTTAAATATTATGTTGAGAAATTAATCACAGAGTCAAAATGTTTTCCTCATGGTGTTAGCTTTGTTTCTTTATTGAAAATGTGTTTAACTCAAATTTGATTTAAAATGTTAGAAATGATTATTTTAAAAGTGATCCCAATGAATGAGTTGAAAACAAACATTCAGCAGTGAAAAATATCTAGTTAGTTGATCACTGGTGGGTGGGAGTATTTGTATTAGCGGTTATATAGAATAAGAGAATTATCAATATGGACAATTTATTTATTCGCGTATTTAAAAACAGAATACCTGATGACTTAAAAGGTTAAAGAGTAGAGCATTTCAATGCAAACTGGCAAATAGAGAAAGCAGTATTTCTGAATTCATGGCATCTTGCTTCTCTAGAAAGCAACTGTTGCGCCAATTAGCCTTAACTTTAATCACTGCTACCAATGGGATTTTTACTAAGATTTACTGCTGATAATGAATAGAATTTATTCTTAGGATTTTATAACAGTTTTTAAGTGAACTGGTACTTTTGGGGCCTATTTAAGACACATAATGACTATGACTTTTATTTTTTAAAATCACATTTGTCTCCTGAAATGCCAAGTGGGAAAATTGTGAACTTCAAATAGAGAATTGCATAACAATTAAAATACTTTAGGAATGTTATTCAGTGGCTCATCACCTATAACTCAATTTAGGTGGAAATGATTGGGGATGCTTCCAGGATAGAAATGTGGTGATGTATCCATTTCATTCTGCTCAATATTTTTTTAAAAAAAAACTTAACCTATGGTCAGCTCATTTATGCATAAATCATTATATGCATAGTTATGGTTCTCAAAATGTACATTTTATCCAGTCTTTAATACGTTATCTGAACATAATCCAGTTTTGTACATACTTTGTTGAATAGTTATATAGTTACTTCTATTAAATGTACAGAGATCAAACATAAATATTTTATTTAAAAGAATAACAACCATTTTTAATAAAGGGAGTGGGAATCTTATTAACGTTTTACTATCCCATGCACTTTCTAAATATATATGTAAATCAGAACACATTAATGTCTACAAAAATACTATATTTCCAAATGTACACTAGAGCTTACAGCTCAAAAATTGATACACAAGAATGCATATATTTATATTGGAGTGATGAATGTAAAGTAGTCAATATATGAGTATTGAGTATATAAATATCATCAGATTTAAATAGTTTTAAATTTAAAAAGTTTTTGTAATATGCTCGTATTTTTATCTTTTCAACCAATAGACTATAAAAGATTGACAATTACTCTTTTCCTCAGTCTAAAAGAATGCAAAATGAAGGCAGAATTGTAAACTGGAAATTGATTCTGCATGGCACTTCCACACGACCTGAACATATGAAGCAACCTCGCATCTATACATCATACAACACTGTCCAAAATGACAGGAGAGGGGTGGAAAAGATGATAGACTCCATGGAGGTACCCTTCTAAATCTATTCCAATCTATGATTTCTTTATAAAATGTGAAATAAGTGAGAATGGTTTTTATTCTAAATTAGCATGCTCTAAATCAACGTAGTTTTTCCTTCTCGGGTGGTTTGGTATTTTCCAACATTACATGTGATCGTGACTACTTGATTAGATGGATTTTAAAGACAAATTTATGAAAGACTAGCATAAAAACTATAGCAAGTTGTTGTAGTTCAAGAAATTCCTGGTGTGGTGCCAATATGCTATGCAAAAGCACTAGTTGCAAAAAAATTGGAGAAGCAACACTAGAAAATTTGTTATTACCTTAGTCCTCTGCTTATTAGCTCTTTGTCTAGTCAATAGTTAGTAATGCATATGGTTCAAAAAAACTCCTTATGTTCTAGTTCGTGTAGGATTCATACATAAACTTCCTGAATATGCTGATTCCCCAAGCCATTGCAAAATTTCTCCACAGGTCTCTAGAGCAGTGGTTCTCAACCTTTTTAATGCCGCGACCCCCAACCGGTCGTAAGTCAAGGACTACTCAACTGGTGCAGCACCGTTTGCAGAATGGGACTTTTGGCAGGCTCAGCAGGGCAGAGACAGCCTGGACAATTCCTATTGGCTTTTGAAAGCCAATAGAATTAGACTCTATTCAAAAGAGTCTATTCTATTGACTTTCAAAAGCCAATAGAATAAAAGGGAGTAGCACAGCTAAGGAAAAGGGGGGAAAAATGGCGGACTGCATTGTTTGGCGACCCCCATGAAATCGTCGTTCGACCCCAAATGGAGTCCTGACCCACAGGTTGAGAACCACTGCTCTAGAGCATCTTAAGTGTGCTGAATCTCAAACATGTATAACTAGCTACACATGTTTAGCACCACACAAAGAATTCTGTAATGTTGTTCTCAGAATTTCCAGCTCAAACAGCTTTTGCAGGAAACTTGTGACCTACTTTTGATAACAATCAATAGCTCCTGACATTTGGTACCCTCATATCTATTTTTCAGGACCATACGACCCAAGAAAACCTGAGTGACAAATACAAAGTTAGAGGAATCACTAGCAGCAAACAGCAAAACCAAGATGTGGTTTCCTCTGATGCAATGCTCCGTCTACTTCAAAATGCATTCCATAGTCAGTTGGTTGGGAATCATTTACCAAAGAAGATGCTAAATGAAAATACGGATATTCCATATGAACATTTCTATCAAGCTCTTGAGAAACTAAACCAAGGCCCCGAGCTGAGACACTCAGAGGAGTCTCTATATAGTGACTATGTTGACCATTTTTACAATTCAAAATCATATAAGCACAGGGATGACAGACTACTACAAGCTTTGATTGATATTCTAAATGAGGAAAATTAAAAACAGTCCTTGGCAGAAAACTAGATTGGAAATATTCACATCTCCAGTGCACTCCTAATTTCGAGTAATTGGCATCTTTCCATGAGTACAATTGGTATTATTCTATATTTATCAATTGCCTCAAGAATAAGCAAAACAAAAAGTTGGATAGATATGAAATGGCAACCAATTTATTCAAAGCAATCTATAATCTTTTCAGATAGGCAGCCTCCTTCAGGAATGAGTAAAACCAGTTTCTCAAGGAAGTAGCACAATGTCACTGCAACAGTTGTGTTTATTACCCTTTCTATACAAACTATAAATATTTTAGATTTTATTACTGCTCACCTATCTCAAAATGTAACATTGTTTGGATATACTAGGAGACTTGTCTGTCTTTCTAATATGGTCCCTGGGCACAAAATAGCATAGTGCATTGCCCCTCTCCTTAGTGGCTCTCATCTCAGTTTTGAAACTAGAAAACCACACCCATGCTTTAGGTATATCATATATTTAAAGATAGATCAGATGAGATTGAAAGGGGCCCAAGTTAAATGTGCAATCAATAGTATTTCAGGTAGAAGAAAACTTGGAAAATATATATCTTCCCACTGATTTAGAGTGCACCATCCTATGCATATTTACTAGTACTAAGTAAATCCCACTGATTTCAGTGGATCTGATACTCAGAGAAATATGCATAGGATTACAGCTCTATTGAATTCATGGGGAAGACTTGCAGAAAAAATAAGGTAGTGTCCTCATAATACCCTGCCAATTTCTTTCAGTCCAAATATTGAAATGTAATTTACCTTATATCCAGTTTTTAGTTTCTTTTCCCTCACAGCTTCCTTTTTAAAAACATATTTTCCCCCTTTGGTAAATCTCAACACATTTTCAACAAAAGGACAGCTCTTCACTGTGTTCCTTTCATCAGGGAAACTCCTTATTACATCAGCCAAGTCAGGCACAGATTTTGGGAAAATCAAAAGTGTCTGTCCTGTTTATTTCAGAGGATAAGTCAAGAAGAGTTTGCTAGCAAAAACAGTCTGTGGCAATTGGAATTGAGTCCTAATGGAAAAGCATTAGATTTTCTCCTTCACTTGTATGAATGAATATCAGCGCTGTTAGGCTCTCAGATTCACACATTTCAAGCGATAGAGTTCTCAGAAAAGAGAGATTTTTTTAAAAAACAAAAGAAAGAAATTCTAAATATAAATATGAAAACACTAAATATTATTATTGGTACTGTATTTTTCAGCATTGATGACACTTTTCACCCAACTGAGAGACTGCTATCAGTTCAAAACTGACATGAGAAGCCAATAACCAAAGGGCAGAGAGGCTTTTTAAAATAATAAAATAAAATGGTTTAATTGTTACATTAGACATGGCAGCATTTACAGAGAATAAGTATTAGGCTGAAGCCTGTCAGAGACTGAAATAGATAAAAATATGGAAATGAAGCAAATGAAGCAAAAATAGGCATAAAAGGCTGCAAAATCAGAAGGAAAAAAAGAAGGGGTGTAAAGCAGATTACAGATTTCAAGCTATACTTGAAAAATCACTTCCTCATTTAACTATAGGTATGAGAAAAATCATCAATAAGATTCAAAATAACATATAAATCATGCAGGTTTTAACCCCCCAGAGTACATGCCTTTAGTACATGAAGTCAAGTTATTGAAATCAAAACAATCATATTACCAAAATGCTTTATTTTTGCCTCAGAATTACATTTGGGGCCACAAACATTAGACTAGGCACATAGGTTACCACCATGCCTTAGATTAATCAAGCCTCCTTGAATTTTAGCAAGTTGATATTACTGGTTCTGGTGGCTGCAAAAGTGGGCTGGGGAATTCATGCAGTCCATAGTTAGCCAATATATGGCTTAAGATCTCAGAGCAAAAGATTATCTCATTTGGGGAAAAAGCTTATTCTCCATTTATTTTACTAGTCGTGTGCTTCCACCTACAAAAATGGAGCAACAGGGATATCATCTCTCCATCAATTGCATGGGAAGACACCAGTATCCATTCTGATCATGGTTTATGTGGTCCAGCATGATCAGCATGGAAAGGACAGCAGCCACGAGCAGCATGAAATCAGACACACTTCTTAGCTGCAGCTACTGATTCCTTTCAGGGAAGGCAAAAATCTTATTTTTTTTAATATTTTGATATTTTGGGAAGAGGTTTTTATGATGATAGTTTTGATGCTACAATCCTGATAAATTATATTAAAGGAACAGAATTATAATAAAAGAATTATAATTATCCCTTTTCCCCTTAATTTAAATATGGTATTATTTTTATGCTGAATAAATTTCATTAATATTTTTTACCATTATTCTGTATTTACAATAAGAGCAGTAGAAAGTTCAGAGAGAGAATCATCTAAAATAGAAAGCACTAATAGATTTCAAGATTTGCACATTATTACAAGGCTATCACAAGGAAGAGGATGTGGTTTTATTCTCCACAATGACAAAGGGTAGGAAGCAATGGATGGACGTTTTTTTATAGAGAAAGACATTTAAAATTTAAATAAATTTATTTAATTTAAATTTAAATAAATTTAAAATTAGGAGGAATGTCCTGACTGTGAGAATAGTTAAGTTGCCTCTGATCCTGGAAGTGTTCAAACAAGGTCAAACAATCATTTGTCTGGTATTATTTAAGATTTCCTGCCTTAAGCAGAGGTTGGACTAGAAAATTCGCAAGGAACTTTCCAGCCTATGATTTTATGAGAAATACACAACAAATTATAGGGCATTTCCTTTACTAAATAGTCAAAAAAAGGCACATATATTGCACATATCACTTTGGCTGGATTCATATATCTCTTTAATATATCTTTTGTTTGGTTTCAGCTATGTGGTTCCAAATATTGCTAAAATGCTTAATGTGATATGTGGATTCAAGTCTTGACTGGATTTCTAACTTAATGGTTATTGACTCATTTCTAACTTAACCTGTGAAGTTTACAAATTTCTGTCCAGAGGGAACAGCACTAGCATTATTATAGTGTAAATTGCCATTCAATATCAGCAGTTATTAGTATAGTATAAGATTGTCATGCTCCTTTATAGACAAGAATTATACTTTATTCTTTGATTAAGTAAGTATCCATATTGTAGCCAAAATTAAATGAAATCTAAATTAATCTTGTGCAAATTCTGATAATGTGAATGTTTCCAACCTAGACTTACCCCCAGAATGCTAAATTATTTTGGTTAAGTCTTTTCTTGGTGCCAGTATGTATTTGTGACAATGTAAAATGTAAAATGAAAGACAAAAATGTTTTATGTCAAAGAAAATGAACATTATATTTTCTTTACAGGTATTTATAAAGTATTAAAGCTTTTATCAGACATAATTTAAGAAGAATAAATTATGAAAAACTTTAAAAATAAATAACAAACAATTTTTTATTTGAGAAAAAAACCGTTTTGTCCAATAAAGATTTTTGGATGGCATGTTGTAATTACAACAGCCACATGTATGTGATGTAATGTTAAAATTTACATTTGTCTAATCGTACATTATACATAATACAACATAATGTGTTAGCAGAGCCCAGCCTGTGTGGTCTTACCATTTGTAAAGCAACACAACACCATACCAATTCCCAAGACAAATTAGATGAAAGATATTAGGAACATTAGTCTAATTGCTGAAGAAAGATATGGAGAGCTAAACAGAATGCAGAAGCTATTATAATAGAGACAGCATTTATAGCAACTTTGATGGCTGTTTTCAGTACATGAATTTGCTGATAACAAGGTAGGCCACCTTCTCTCTACTATAATGCAAGAATCCAACAGTTGGAACATTTATATGGGGGGGGGATGTGATTTGTTAATGCAGTGCTTAGAGTCAACCTTTCCCAACTGGACTCTCTTCAGAGCTGTTCATAATAAATGTCTAGAATTTCTTAGGAAACTTGAAGGTAGTTTCTTCCTGCTACATTTTTAGATTAATTCACCTTCATCATAGTGAAAAAAATCACGTTGTCCAATACTTACAAGCTAAAGAAGACTTATTAAAGTACAATAACCTTATTTTCTTCAGCATCAGAGGCACATTTAGAACAACTGCTTTTGGAGGAGCATACTGTATTAATGAACAGAATCAGGAGAGCGAAAAATTTGTTTTGTATTACAATACTTAGAGAGGTGAGATAATTAATGTTTATTTTTCTTATAAATAAAAAAAAGAATATGCCAGCTATTGTTACAAGAATCAGCTTCCAAATTTTGTGATATATTTGTTGAATTCCTAGGCCACCCAGCTCCAAAGTGACTCTGAATGGTTTCACAAGTTAAAAGAAATAACATTATATAAAAAACAAACTAGGTCCAAAGGACAACATACTCTCAAAGGGGAACAGACCAACATACCAATTTAAGGCCTGGGGTAGTGGGGGAGCTTTTTAAAGGCCACCTAAAGGCAAATGAGGTGAGAACTATAATGTAATGCTGTTACATAAAAAGCCTACTTCTTCAGTCATATTAAATGGTATTGCTTAATCAGCAGGATCAGAAGAAGGTCAGCAGAGTGTGAAACTATGAAACAGGTAGTCCTTTAATTAGCCAAGCCCAATGCTATTTATAGGTAATAGCCATCACCTTGAATTGTACCGAGATACCAACTGGTAAGTTCATTTAGCAAGGTTATTACATAGTGCACCTTACCCTTTGCTCTCGTGCTGCTGCATTCTAGACTAGCTGTGATTACTGAGTGGTCTACAAGGAAAGCCCAGGTGAAGCATCTATGAGCAACTGTAAAGTGATCAGAACACGGGTTATGGTATGGATGGCCTCTTGATTCAGGAACAAGTATGAATGAAGTTGAACCTTTGCAAAGACCTTCCTGGTCATAACTGCCACCTACTCAAATAGCAGAATAATAAAATAACAGATTTGGAAGGCCCATTAGAGGTCTTCTAATCCAACCCCTTGTTCAAGCAGGAACCCCTATACCATTTCAGACAAATGGTTGTCCAATCTCCTCTTAATAACCTCTAGTGGAAGACCCACAACTTCTGGAGGGAAGTGGTTCCACTGATTAATTGTTCTAACTGTCAGGAAATTTCTCCCTAATTCTAGGTTGCTTCTCTCCTTCATTAGTTTTCACCTGTTGCTTCTTGTTCTGCCTTCAGGTACCTGGGAGAATAGCTTGACTCCCTCTTCTTTGTGGCAGCCCCTTAGATATTGGAACACTGCTATCATGTTACCCCTTAACCTTCTTTTCATTAAACTAGACATACCCAATTCCTGCAATCATTCCTCATACCGTATGTATGTATGAGGAATGTCCTTAGAGTCCAGGACAAATTCTCCAGATTATGTACCTATCCTGAATGAGCATATGCAACCACATTCAGAGCAAACATGTAATATCTCCAACACTGGAAGAACCAAATACCTATACCACTTGATCTTGCTGCACTTAGCCTGACCTTATTCCTCCCCATCCAGATCTCATTAGCCTCTAGGCCAGTGGTTCTCAACCTGTGGGTCAGGACCCCATTTGGGGTCGAACGACCATTTCACGGGGGTCGTCAAACAACGCAGTCTGCCATTTTTTCCCCTTTTCCTTAGCTGTGCTACTCCCTTTTATTCTATTGGCTTTTGAAAGCCAATAGAATAGACTCTCTTGAATAGAGTCTAATTCTATTGGCTTTCAAAGCCAATAGGAATTGTCCAGGCTGTCTCTGCCCTGCTGAGCCCTCCAAAAGTCCCATTCTAAAAATGGTGCTGCACCAGTTGAGTAGTCCTCGACTTACGACTGCTTGAGTAGTCCTCAACTTACGACCGGTTGGGGGGTCGCAGCATTAAAAAGGTTGAGAACCACTGCTCTAGGCACAAGGACGAGACCCCAATCCTTTGTTTGACTAGTCAGGGGTCAAGATGTACAACTAAGTAACATCAACACACTGATGACACCTGACTCCAAACTGCCAGATGACCTCCCCCAATAATCTCAGGCACCTGTTTAACATTGAGTGACTTCATCGAGTCCTCACATAGCTGCCCAATAGATGGTCCTAAGGCTCATCCCTGTCCAATAGAGAGTGATCACTCAAAAAAGGGCCATGTTTGATTAGTGATTGTGGTAAAACTGGAGAAATAATGTTTTACCATGATGCAGTCCCTAATGTCAGGTATTACATGTGCTTATCACCATGACGCAGTCCCTAATGTCAGGTATTACATGTGCTCTAGGCATCTTTTCTGACATTTCCTCAGAAAGGCAAATACACCTTTATATACCCCAATATACACACCAAATTGATGGAGGGTGAGAGAGAGAAGTGATCCCATCTAAAGACCTCACGATACAAAAGTCTGACATTTTGATGTGACATTCTAATCAGGTGGATGAGAGAGAAAAAGGAGGAACAAGGGGAATTTTGGAGAATATACCTACAAGCTTCTGAGTTGTCCCTATCAGCGTCTGAAATAGCTATATTTCAGACAATTTCCAGTATGACCTTTACTTATTGAAAGAATTATGAGAGATGCTAAGTTCAACAGAGATTCAAGGATAAGGGAACAGAAAAAGGGAAAAAGATATGGGAAGAGGGAAATTAAGTAAAGACAGTTATTCTGAAATGGTAAGTTATTTGCAGTTGGGCCTGTTTCCTCATTTGGAGACAGCCAGGCACAGAAGACAGAACTTATCTTTACTTAAGATGTTAGAAAGAGAAGATTACGTGGAAAATTGTTTTAATATTGATATTCTTTAACTATTTCTTTAACTTGGAATATACAGCTGGTAAAGAAGCATGCTCCCCCCCCAATTCCAGTCTGATTAATTTTGGTAGTCAGGTATAAATGGATTTGCTTTCACATTATTTTTAATGTTTTTTTAAATAATGCTTGCTTTCAATAAAATGCTCTGAATGTTAAATAAGCAGTAATGCTGGCTCCTGCAGCCTGATAAGAAAATGCACTTAGAACAAATAGTTGCAAGTTTATTAATGAGGTCTGTGGAATAAAGCAATAAAAACTCAACTCTAATAAAGTCTATGCCATATGCCAGTCCCATTAAAAGTGGTGAACCAGTGTAACATCCTTTCATTTGGAGACCAGGCTATCTATATCCCATGACCTAGCAAATGTTCTGGTTGATAAGAAAGGAATGTTCCATAATCTATAATTCAAATGGCAAATCAAATAGCAAGTGGCTCAGTGATAAAGATTAAAAAAACAGATGTTAGATAATAGCTGGAAATGTTAGGGATATTGAACCTATCCCTGTCTGGCAACAACACCTTTGTATTGGTTCTTCATCTTGGGATAAGCACTATTTTCATTTGTACTCTTGGTTTAGACTGAGTGTCTTTCAGGTCAGACTTCTAAGAATGAATCTTCTCAGCAATTTTCTCCATGGCTATTTTCTCACCCAAATTTGGACCCATGTTTCACACTGACCAGGGTTGCTTTGCCACTAGAATTCATAATTGCCTATGAGAAATTAGTCCAGAATAAGTTCTCTACATGCATGTCCTTTAATTATGGTGTACCTTCTTCTTAAAGTAAGAAATGCTACAAGGAGAAAAGAAAGAAAGAAATGCTGGAAAAAAGAAACAAAGATCAAAACCATGGTTTCCATTGGACTTTTCCACATAAGTATTGGGTTCACCAGAACAGTTAAGCCTAATGTGGCTCATCTGTAAGTTAATGAGTTGTGTCAAACCAGACAATTATAATTTATCCAGTAAATTATATTAAGTAAATCAAGGCTTTGTTTGTTAACACAGCCAAAATACATTACAAATTGGAGACAGGATTTTTAATATTCTCCTTCCTTGCCTCCTCAGTCAAATTCTTCATGGTTCAAAAGTTCAAAAGCAGAAAAATCATGCCCAATTTTGTAACAAATCTGAGCATCATTTCAGGTCCATGGAGTCACCCCAGAAATCCATGCTCAAAATATTGAGCATTGTATATCCAGAATAAGTTAACCATTTTGCCCAGAGCAGCACTGAAACTTTTCCTGCCCAGGAGCAAATGTACCTACTTCTGCAATGTGTAGAAGGGTGTGAGGTTCAGGCCCAGAGAAAGATATTTAATTACTGCATTGCAAATTGAACACAAAGAGGCTCTTATGTCTGTTCCATTTCCCTTTGCTGCCTACTATTTTCTAGTTCACCCAAGGAGTTGGTCCAGTATTCATAATTGCTTTTCACATTGCCAGTGCTTTGTCAGTGAAACTATGGAAAGAAATGAATTGTAGTAAAAGGTTACCAGCATCTTTAGCTACTAAAATTAGAAGTTGGCCCATTTTTTCCAACAAGAATATTTCTAACTCTGAAAAGCAGACTAAAAACTACCTATTAAAAGGGATTTCCTGTTCAAAAGGAGAGAAACTTCTAACACTGGAGGATCTCCTATTTTTATAC